TTAAACTTGTCAAAATTGAATTTTGAAACTTATTCGGTGGCTAAATATTTGACAGTTGCTGAAGTTTCAAATACTTCAAGCATTTCATACGGATCGTTAAATTTATTCTGAGCTTTATCGCAAATTTGAGTTTTCTTAACATAAACTTTATCTCCTACATTATATTGCTTGATCAAATGTTATTTTTGGATTTTTGTTTTTGTTGATCAGTGCGGGTACTCGCGACTCTATAAGAATGCTACATGTGATTATTTAGATCTCGGATGCATTTGGTGATGGGTTGTGCTTCGTTATACAGAATTTCTGGAGGCCTACTAGAAGTGTGCCCAAATATTAGTTCATAAGGGGAAAAACGATGCCTTTTATTCTTTGTGTTGTTGTAGTTCCAAAATGTTGGAAGTAGAGAAGAAAAGTAGTTAAGATTGTAGAAGCATTTTTGTTTTTGATTGGATATGCTTGGGTGAATTTTGTGAGTTCATCTTTTATGGTAAGGGCGTAATTACGAACTGGGAATTCGAAAACATCGATGTTAATTCGCCCAGAAGGAGTTTTGGGAGTTTCCGTGATAACTAATGGTGTGCTGAGGGTTTTACGATAGATTTTGACTTTCTGACAGATTTCGCACTTTCGCAATATAATTTTCGACATTTTTGGTCAAGGTTGGCCAATTATATTTTTGTTTTATTCGCTAAGTTATTTATACCCGAATGGTATTGATCTAGAATGATTTCGTCTTGATCAGGAGTTCGAACTATATCTTGACAGATTCTTAGTTTTATATCCTTTTCTGAATATATAAAGGAGAATGCTTCTAATATCGGAGGTTGTAAATTATTTTCAATCCAATATATTTTTGAAAGATCAAAGTTATTTTTTGCTGCGAATAAAATATAGAATAAACATTGAACTACAGTTTTATTGTCATATGGAAGAGGAATTATATAATATTTTCTGCCTTTGACGGTTTTGCTAGAAAAAATGTTAATTTTGTTAAATGTAAAATTTACATCTTCTTCAAAAATATCGTCCATTATTTTGTTATGCAAATCATCAAGTTTTGATTGCCAAAAAAAATGACAATATCTTTGTGGTTTTTGTCTAGAAGTTGGGAATTAGAGATTTCCATTTTGGAATAATCTATAAGGGATTGGGTTTTATGAAGGTATGCGAAGTTGTTGTATTCCTCAGTAACTTCCGCTGTCGTCTTCGTTATCTGAATTCTTAAAATTGTCATCGTGAATGATTTCTTCTTTACATGTAGATGGTCTGTGTGAACAATCTTGAATGTGGTTAATTTTAACACAGGATAGAGCGTCTTCGTTCTTATTTATTTTACCGGGCTTATACGCAATGGTAAAGTCGTATTCTTCAAGCTTAAGACGCCATCTAAGTAAGCTACTTCCTTTCGAAGAAATTTACACTTGTCAGGTTGGAGTTGGAGGTTTGCACCAGTTAACCTTTGTATATGTTCGTGTATGGTAGCGGAATAAATGATAATATCGTCCATGTAAATGATACATCGTTCGTTTTGAAGACCTAAGAGAATGTTGTCCATGACACGTTGGAAAGTGGATGGAGAATTTTTTTGTCCGAAGGGTAAATAGAGAAATTCAAAATGACCATTTTCAACGGAAAATGCAGTTTTGGCAACGACCTTGGGATCAATTTCAATTTGGTAAAACCCAGATGCTAGGTCCAAAGCAGTGAAATATTGACATCTGCCTAACTGGCCTAAGAGGTCGGAAATATTGGGAAGGGTATATTTATTTCGTTTCGTTTGCGATAGTCGATGACTACGTTCCATTTTTGTTTCATAGAAGCGTCTAATTTTTTTGGGACATCCCAAACAGGGGAAGACAATGGAGAAGTGGAAGGTCGAATGATTCCTTGTTCGAGCATTTTGTTGAGTTGTGACTTTACCTCTTGTTTGTGATTTTGTAAAAATCGGTCTGACGTTGTTCGTTTCAATAGTATGTTTAATTTCGTTGGTGAAACTTAAATGATCTCCTTCTAAATAGAATTTATCAGAAAAGTCAACACATTATTAATTCTTTTTCTTCTTCGTTTAAATGATCGGTGCGTAACTGGGATTGAATTATACCGCGCCTATCAACAGGTTGAGAATTTAAATTGAAAACATTATTTACTTCTTTTTCGTTAAGATTTATGTCAACAGGTTCGATAGATAAATTTGAAAAATCTATAGTTTTCGGGTTTTTGTTACTTACCTTAACTAAAGCATTAGGTAACCTGACTTTTTCGCATTCTTGGGAGTGGAGAATAGCGTCTCTATTTGTTCAATTAGATTTAAATTTGAAAATTCTTTCGGTTCTAGGTTCGATTATAATGCAATTTTGAATTTTTCTTTTTCAAGTTTGTTAGAAATTTTGGGAAAAACAGATTTATGTCCTACTTTATGTAAAGGCATTGTTTGTTTTGTTCGTTATAAGTTTTTTGGACTTCAAAATCGATTATATGTTGATAGTGATCAAGAAAATCTAAATCGAGAATTCCGTCAAATTCGATATCAAAATCGTAAAGATAGACCTTATGTTTGTCGTTATCCGTGAACGCAATAAGTGTCGATTCTTTAATGAAATGTTTTGATTTGGATGGTAATATTTTCTGGAACTCGTGTTCGGTAATTTTCACCGGTTTTTATATTTAAAGATAGAAATACCTTCGCCTGTATCTATTAATATTTTAAATTTTTGTGTAGCGTCAAAAATATAGTATAATTTTTTTTAATTTACCGTAAGAAGAGGATTTATCAGAAGTTCTGTTCTGGAAAGTTTAGATTGGAATTCATGTTGTCTAAATTCAGGGTCTGAATTTGGGAATTGATTTCGAAAATCGGGTTTGGACACATTTCGTCAGGTGGGGTATCATAAGGGCTTTCGTCAAAATCCTGCTCTAGTTCGCAGTTTTCTGGATGGTTAGAATAATGATTTTAAAGTTTACTATCTTCTTGGAGAGTACAACTTTCATGTGAAAATTCCTGGAAAATTCCGGAATAACCGTCCATGTAAATCGGGTTTGAGTTTACATGATGAGTTCGCTGCGGGTTTGGATTCATAAAATGTGGCTTAGGATAAGAGTTTGAAGATTTCATAGGTATTTGATTCGAATTGTTGCTAATGTTGCTTTGTTGAAACGAATTAGAAGGTCATGTGAAGGTATGTGAATATTGCGAAAAATTTGGTTTGACTTGCTGATGCGTACTTCTACATTGATTTGAAGTATGGCCAATTTTATTACACAAAGTGCATTTGGGTTGCTGAAGAGGGGTTCGAATATTCGCAGATGGTGATTTAGGAGGATAAGATTTGACAGATTTTTGATTTTCCAAATATGAGAGTTGGAGTTCTCGACGAATCCTTGCTAGGGCTTCTAAGAGTGAGGTGGGATTACTAGCACGAATAAGTTGACCTAATCTAGGCTCTAAACCTGTAAGAAGTGTATTAAGGGCCATAGTCTAAATTAAAACTATCTGAGCATCCTTTTGCTCTTTGGATCCTAATGTGGTAGATTTTTGAACACATTAATGCATTTTCGCATTTAAGACTTGAAGACGGTTAAAAAAAGTTAATGCCAATTCATTGGGCAATTGTGTAAGACGTTGAAGGTCATGAATTATGAAAGGTAAATCTCTAGAATCACCAAAGTGTAGAATTAATAGTTTCCAGATAGAATTAATTAATTGAGCTGCTCTACCGCGGAGCTTATTTTTTATGTGAATAACTAAAAGTATTTTTTGTTGCGCTGTTGCCATATTATAAGCACAATCACACGCGTTTATAAACTTTCCTAAAAAGATTTGGTTACCCTCAAATTCTGGTACGACACAGAAAATTTCTGAAAGTATGTGTGGTTCAACTTCCAGCATTGTACTAGATTGGTCTGATTCAGTTGCCATTATTTTAGGTTTTTAGAAAAAGCAAATCAATTTATAAGAAGTTCAAACACACAATTTTTTTTGTTTTAAATATTGCTAAGTTAAACTTGCGGACTAAAATTAAATCAAAATAATTATCGCGCAACGATTTTACGTTGGGAATTTAAATAAATAGGTAATTTTCAACCTTGGGTAATTCAACGTAATAAATTCAATAATGTTAAAATTAAAAATAAAATAATTCGTAACGATTCTTAACACTTCCAGTACTATTTTCATTGCTGCCTTTCGAGACGGTGATGGGTTTATCCTTGTTCAGGTACGATGGGGCTGTGTTCGTTGTTCCCTCGATCTAGAGGTAAGAATCTGAAGCCACTAGTTAGAATACTCGTGTTCTAGCAACGTGAACAGATCCTATTCCGAATTGCTATAATCCACAAATGTTTTTGTTGTTGCTCTTATTTAACAAAATGTCGTCTACGCGACTTTTCAAGGCACACACAATACTCGTAGGTAAACTGTAAACATCCGGTGAACTAGCCGGTCATAAAATTGTTCCTCGTGTCCAACTCACACGACTAGAAAATGCGTGACCAACATATTCCCTACCAAGTCCAACATTGTTAATGTTGAAATCATGGTTAACCAAATCTCACTTCTAAGATTTACCGAATAATACTGAAGATCCAAGATTAAAGTACTCTGACGTCACTCCGTATTGCTTCAAATAATTCTTACGATAATCGCCGCGTGTTATTTGTTATTTGAGAAAATTTTATTAGTAACGACTACTTAATTAAATTTAATTTCAACATGCGTCTTTGTAAAATGTATAAATTATAAAATATAAATATATAAAATTTATTTTTATAATATATGATTCAAACTGAGCATGTATTCCCCAATGCTCCTATACAGGTCACTTATGTGGCATATATACAGGCTACTAAAATTTCTTATTTTAACTAGAGTAGGTACGATTTTATTCCTTTTTTTTTATTTCATTTCTCATGTAACGTCCCCTGTACCCAAATTTAAGCGTTTTTGCTATAATGACAAAATACGAAAATAATTAATTGAATGACTAACCCTGTATGATGTATTAATTCAATTTATTTCTGGGAATGTTCATTAGGGTATTTCAATATGTCGCATTTAAGAAAACTGATATCCACCAATTAATTGAATGGACAATAGAAAGAAGGTTAATAGACATTAACACTAACAGAGATTAAAACATTTTAACAAAATACGGAAAAATGTTTGGTTATATATTGGTCATTGCAACAACCTTAAAAAATATATTTGACTTGTTACAGCAGCATTTTAAATAAATGTATTGGAGACGAAAATATTTCATTTCATTTAACAACTATTAAAGACTTTTCAACGTTGGTCCCGAATATTGATTTAGTTGGTGAGTGCCATCGCCGCACCGTTCGATAGTCTTCTGAAGTACCTCAGGCGAAACAGTTTTCAAGTCGTATGCCCAACCCAGATTCTTAAATAGATTTATGACAATAGTCGTGAAATCGAACACATACAAAAATTCTGATGCCCTATAATCCCAAGGGAAAGCGTGGTGAAAGTTGTGGTAACCCTCGCCCTTTGTCACAAGGGACACAAATAAGTTTTGCGTCGGTTTTAGATTTCTGAAATAAATAAAACGTATTTCAAATTTCAGTTACAATAAAATAGAACTAGAGAGATTCTCGTAATAACAATTGCATATTGCCTCTACTGTAAACATATAAATAAAATAATGAATTTATACTCACTTATCGTATGGCTTGTTTCCATAGTAATGTGCTAAACTATTTACAGTCCAAGTTGTGTTTAACAATGTAACGTATTTAACAAACGAATTTGCCAAAATGGACACCATCCATGGTTCACCCCAAAGTAAAGGAGGGATCATTGCTGGAAATACAAAGCAAAACAATAGCTTAAACCACCCGTAATACCTAAAACATAGAATATACTCAGTATGTTTGTACCAGAGATCAATATGTCATAAAGAAAAGAATATTAGCTGTTTTGCGTTTGTTAAAATTATTCTTTGCGAACCAATCCCTTGTCGTAACCTGCATATGGCCAAAGTAATGTAGATCTTGCCTTACTTTGTGTGAAATCTGATCAGTGGATCATCTGTTAGGTCACTGATGTCAATTTGACGCCCCTTTTTGATCACATCGGGGTGTTTCTTCATGCAGAGCCAACCAACGTGGGAAAAAAACAATCCTCTATTGATGTTGTGTGGGTCGGCATTGGTGTCCGAATATTTATGGTGTACCCTGTGATCGCGCACCCAATCGACCACCGAATTCTAAAAACAGATGTTTAAAAATCAGAATATTTTTTGCAATCATCATTCATTAAAATTCAACTTAAAACATTGATCAAAGTATTCATTTCCTCATTCCATCTTCATTCTATGCCCCGTACTTTCACTGTTCTATACTCTCCAAACGATAAGTACGTAATATGTCAAACATTCCCTTATACCAATGTGATGTTTTTTCGGCAACATTTATTAAATTCTCAAAGAAAAAACGAATTGCATGGTTCGAAATCACTGTTTAGAAAGAAAATGGTTGAAAATGAAGATTAAAATTTATAAGCCATCACAAAACTGGCTGAAGGTTATTCTGTCAATCCCATCTGGGTACCTGCTCAACGGCAACGAGATGACTAACATACTGGTTTGCAGCCTGACTGGACCGGAGCCTTCCGTTGGAATAGTGGATAGTGAACTCTAGAGCGAGTTGAATAAATGGCTCGGAAGGCATTGAGGAAGGAAGGAAATGAGGTAATCGACGGTTCTAATAGCTTCAGGACTAAAAGTGTGGAAAAAGTGTCAGTGGCGCGCGATTATAAATGCTGGCAGAAATCTGCATCTTCATATCATGGCGATGAAAGGCGACAGTATATATAGGCTGTGTTTGGATGAGGAGAAAACTGCAATTCATAACCAGCTACACGCTACTAGGAGGCAGAGGATTAAGTGTAGTACGAGCTCAATTCATTGACCGTAGGAATTACTATGAAAGAGGTACTGTACTTCCTTGAAGCCAAAGTGCTCTTCTAGAGGAGGAAGCAAAGGTGGTTTGTTAGGACAGACATGTCATTTTCTAATAACTATGCGGTTTAAACAAATGCCTTACCATTCCACTCATCGAATATAAAACCAATAGTATGACTTTCAATTTTGTGTTGGCTTTATAAGCTCGATGAGTCCAAAGGCGATGGACTCCAGCAGTTATTCCAAATCCAGCAATCATAGAGATGAAATAGGCTGCAATAAACATAAGCAAATATTATAAATAACAGATTTTAAGCAGTATCTTACCATAAATCATAGTCCAGGGATACTTTTTATAATCGTGTATAAAAATATAGCATACGGCCACTGTATGAAAAAAAAGCAGGAGAATAATGTTTTTCCACACAAGAGGAGTTTCAAATTCGCCGAGGAAACATTTATATTTGCTCCTACTGCCGTCATCTTCCACATTTCTCTTGTTGATCGTGATTGCTGATCGCTGTGTACAATTTGAAGAATCGACGACCATGACTGCTAAAAAATCTGCATTCACACTGGTATTAATATTCGCCATTCTTTTCATCCGCGACTGACAAGGGTCAACCTTGATTAACACAAAATATTAATTTCTATTTATGCAAGCAGTGGCGTCATGGAATTATAGCTGCTTTTAGCATTATTTTTATTGGCATTGTTATCAATAATATAGCAATATCCATTTAATCCAGCTAGCACAAAATAGTGTTCTGTCGATTATTATGAGATGTAGAAGATTGGAATAAGAAGAGGGTCCTAGCTTGTTTCCCTTTTTAAATAACTCATTGCACTAATGGAGAAGACGTTTCTTGAAAGAGTTTTGGCTGTAGATGTTAGTTGTAAAATAACCTAGGCAAAATCATCAACGTTGCGCACACAGATAACATTTTAGTATCAAGTAGGCACAACATGGACACAACTTCCATTTAGATTGATTACGTACAAAGTGTTCTATCGAAAATAATATAGTTCAAATATTTTTTCAGGTGAACTAGCTCATCGTAAAATTTTTCCTCGTGTACAACGTGTCCGTCCATTTTCCGTTGTTATTGAAAAGTTTCGAAAAAACGCAACATAAAAATTATGTCCTTTTTAAAAGATCTGTGTAGAGATACAGGGTGTTTAAAATACAAATGGGCACAGTGCACATGCGATCCCAACAGGCAGAAAATCACTCGGACGCAACAGAGAGCGTTGAAATCAGACCTCCAAAAAATGGACATGCCTGTTGATTATAAGTTCGTGGAATACATGCAGCGTCTGTTTGTTGAATCCATGTTTAACTTAACCAAATCTCACTACTATACTGCAGATGGGTGATTTACATGATGCAACTAAACAAGACGATTTCAAGCTCGCTTCTTGCACTAACGTAAGCTGGTAAACTGGTACAGCTGGTTTATGTACGTGAAAACATAAGCTGGAACAGAACGAAATAGAGGAGTTTAAAATAGATAAACAACTTTTTTGACTAGGAACCACGTCACTTTCTAATAAATACCAATAAGAATCCTGGACCAGTCTTCCATCGATATTTAATTTAATTTCAATATTTACTTAATGTGTCAAAAATGTAACATTTTCAACAAAAAATTTCATAATCACAATATATCGCCTAATATATCTAGAGGTGAGCATATGTTCTCAATGCTTCTACGTGTGGAGTACCTGTGTAGGTATAATGCGTGGTATTAATTAAAACTGATTACATACTCGTAGCAAGTGCTTAAAGAAAATCGGAGTATATGTTAACGAATTGAGCACATACTTACGTTTGGTATGAATAAACTTTTCGTATGGAAACAAGCACGTGGTTTAGCTTTTTAAGTACATGCTTCGGATCACAAATAGCTCCATAGTTTTTTCAAAGAGTCCATACAGGTTTGATTAGTGGTAGGATGTGCCGCGTTGCGCTAGTGTTGCAGTACCTATATTTGTCTTACAAATAAATTGCAATCTAATTTACAATCATGGATATGGAAGAGGACACATTCGGGGAACCATCTAAAATGTTAACGAAAAATTTCCCATAGTTTTGTAAAAATCAAACATACGCGATATTAAAAAAAAAGAAAGCAAATGCAATGCCTCGAAAATAAATCACAAATGAAAAAAGTTTAACAACCTGAAAAATAAAGACTGATTAAAGTCAAACCGGAAATAAGAAGATTGAACTGAATTAATTAATTAATTGGAAGGAAAAATAAATCTTTCAATTTGCAGAGTAAAATGTAAGTAGGTCTATAGTGCATAAAAGTAGTAATTTATAACCATTTTAAATAGCTTCAACATAATTTGTTCCAATATTCATGATAAGGATATAATTTCTAAGTTCTAACTATTATGTATCTGGAACATCCAAGACTTCTTCTATAATAAGACAACCGATCAGAAAAAGAAAACAAAATCAGTAATAAAAGGAAAAACTGCCAAAAAGTGATGAAATCAGAAACCTTCTACACCAGAACTTTAAAGTTTAGTTCTTTTGGAACAGTTGTCTTTAGGTTTACAAAAGGAATATGAATACCGATAAAAGATTAGCAGGTTACGCGGCTGTTCAACTCTAATATCCAAAAAGATCTGGCAAATGCAGCAATTTGTAAGAATTTGTTCATGACAAAGAAGCGCCTCATTAACAACGTGTACTGGGAAGGCCAGACGGAAAAAGCTCAGTAGGACGCCCCGGAAAAGAATGCAATTGCTACCGACCTTAAGAAAATAGGGATAAGACAATGGGAAATCAGCGCACAGGATTCACAACATCGGAGAGGAACCCTAAACGTGGCCAAGACTCACGATGAGTTGTAGTGCCAGAGAAAAAGAAGAAGAAGAAGAATATTTGTTGTGTATTTTGATTCACTTACATAGTACTGCCTCAAAGCAATCTTCACTTCTTCTTGCTATTACGTCTCTTCTTAGCTGTCCTCTCTGGCGTACAATTGCCTCACTATAATATACAAACTATAAAGCCCCATCCTATCATTGTTCACACTTTCCAAAATAGGGAAATCTTCGTCGTTGAGTTGGCATTTTTTATGTTTCTATTTTCATTTTGTGTTGAAGTACAGGAAAACGCTGCTTCAGTGTCAACTAATCAAAACACGTTCTCGAGTCAAACATCTATTGTACGAATTTTCTCGCTTCAACTGTTCTGCATTACGTTTGCGAGTGTTAACGAAGCTGTTGTTTGGTGCACTCCTATATCCTCACTCACACAACATTGGAATCTCGAATCACCAACGTGACGGAGAAAACTTCTCATTTTTTCAGTAGCACTTAAAGCACCACCTCTACTTTCAAACTCGTCTCTTAAAAAATTTCTTTCTTCCTTCTGGTTAAATCTATACAAAATTCGATAATCAACATCTCGATAGTCTCTGTGAACTAAATTCGGTCATTACTTATGAAATCGAATTTACAACTGAATTGAGCATGTGAGGTAACATAAAATTATTTGACTAACTGCTTCATTTTATTCATACCAAAATTGAAGTAGGTACTGACTGTTAAGTTCGAAAAATAGCAGGTGCTCTGTTGTTAAGCATCTCCTTCATCATTTTATTCACACCAAATGAAGAACCTACTCCAAAATTTTAAGTGACCCCCCACTGTATTAATTAATAACTAAATAATAATACTTTTATTAAACATTTCTGGGTATTTATTCAACATACTGTCATACATGAAAACTGGTGCCTACCCGTCACATAAAAGAGCAACACATTATGATAGACATATACCTATGTATTATTATTCAAACAAAACTTGCTTAACTTACCGTAAAGAAGGAATCAAGGTTTGTAAAAATTAACATTAATTGGTACTAAATACGTTTTATTATTAAATTTCGCTGAAATCATTTGCTAATAAATATTTCAAACAATTTTTTAAAGATAGGTAATGCAAAAATTCCATCGCCATGTGCCATCGCCACACCGTTCAATAGTCTTCCGAAGTACTTCAGGCGAAACAGTTTTCAAGTCGTACGCCCAACCAAGTTTATGAAAGAATTCAATGGCAATAGTCGTGACATGGAACATATGCAAAAATTCTGATGCTCTATAATCCCAAGGAAAAGCGTGGTGAAAGTTGTGGTATCCCTCACCATTTGTCAAAACCGCCGTGAATAGGTTCTGCGTCGGTCTTAGATTTCTGCAATAAAGGGAAATAAAAGATATAATTTTTAGGTCAAATTTAAATCGTAGTTTTGAAAAATGAAATGCAGCCTTTTCGTTTTTTTTTTATATAAGTCTTAATATGAAATGAGGTTTGCATTAACTGTTCAATTTTTTAGTTTGCAGTTGGTAACATTATCCGCGCATATCTGCTGATAAATACATAGACAGCGATAATCCTTTTTATGTAAAAGTGAGAGCAACAACTGGCAGAAACATTTCATTGCAATAGTTCCTTTTTTATTTTTTGTAAATTTTTCTTGAATAATTAATTATTTTAATTATTAAAAAATGATTTTATATTAATTCAAATCGTGGTTAAAACGCCACCTATTGCAATAACTATTAGTAATCTTAATGAAGAACTTACTTCCTCCATGTGGCCGTAACCAAAACTAACCAAAACTAATGCTTAACAAAAGAAGAGTGTTTATTTGCAATATTAATTCACTCAAAATATACTTTTTTAAGACCACAGCTTATGGTATACTTGATGTTTCTCCATCAATAAAAAAGTCTTCTGCTCTCCCATATTATATTCTTTGAAATTTGGGCAATTTAGTACAACCCGTTTGAAATTTTGCTCACCTTTCTAAGGAAAGTTATGAGCTTCCAAAATATCAAAAATTTCCACGCGACCTCAAAAAAATAAAACTTTTTACACTATTAGAATCCCTCAATTTTGCGAAATCATACTCCATCGATTTTAAATTTAATTTCAATATGCCCTGCTGGATTCAACCAAATTAAAAAAAACATTAGAATCTCTAAACTTTTATGCGCAACCGATTTGACATTTTGCACACCTTCCTGAAGAAAGTTATGATATTCCAAATATTCAAAATTTCATTTCAAATTATAATATTATTATAGTTCCCTTAAACACTTTTTTATGCCTAAATTTGGCGCCAACTTACACCGCCAAATTAAAATTCCTCACGGTCAAATCTGACTGATCCTACTTATCTCAGTCTGAAAGGGATGATTTGGAAGTGTCAAAGTTTCAATTTGTTTTTATTCATTTTTTAATAATTTTTATTTTCAGTATTTTGGTTACTTTATGTAAAATCTAATCAATGGATCATCTCTTATCTCAATTTCACGCCCTTTGTTGATCACGTCAGTGTGCCTTTTCATATAGACCCATCCGACATGTGGCGAAGCCTGTGATAACGCACCCAATCTAGCACCGAATACTAACAGAGAAATAATTTGAAATTAATCAAATTACGTTTTTCGGTTATGTGGGCAATCTAGGTTAGTATTTAAAATTACTTTATTATATAGGTTGTTTCCAAAATGTAAAATGTACACTAAGCATAGATTTTTTGTGACTACTTAAGTATTGCTTTTCTCACCAACCTGAGATGATGAGAGTAATCTCCATACAAAACACCGCTTTTTTATAGCGGAGTTTAAAAATGAAGTTCGGTTATATGTACTATTTTGTACTTTTTTATTTATTTTTCTCCTTAGTGACTTTTTCTTTCTCTTTTTTTCCTTTTTCTCTCTTTTCTGTATATTTCTTTCATAGGCGATCATAATTGCTGATCGGTATGTACATTTTAAAATGTCCACTTTCATTCAACTGCGACTGACAGGGGTGAAACTTAATACACACAAAATATTAATTTATATTTATACAAGCAGTGGTGTCATGCAATTGCAGCTTAATCCTGCTTGTTACTCAGCTAGCACAAAATATACCAAATATACCAAATATACCAAGTACCAATTACTACTGAACTTAATCTTTATACTCAGCAAAATTAGTGAACTAGCTGATCACAATAGTATATTTTATATAGTATAGTGCGGTAAACGGCATTTGACTCACGAGTTTATTTGACACGAGCGGAGCGAGTGTTAAATAAACGGGTGAGTTAAAAAGTTTACCGAACGTGTTGCATACTATACTTTTTCTACGAACGTTAGTTTTTGGGTACATTTTCGCAAAACACGAATACATTCACTGACATGACTGTCAAAATTGACAAACGTCAAAATTCAAAGTGTGGGAAATATCTCCGAAAACATCCGATTGCTCCCAAACCCGTGCGGTAAAATCCCGGAAATGTCCGAAGTGGCTTGGATTCGTGGGAAACGAAACCGACGTGGTAAAGCGACGCTTCCCGCACGCTAGATCGGTGCGTAATTAGGTATTTTACAGACGATAGTAGAAAAAATTATTTGCGGTGTACAATGTGTCTAGTTTTTGTTGTTATTACAAGGTGCCCGCGTAAATTATTTTGTACCCTTTTATATAGCACGATGAAATTTGGCATGCATATATAATTAAAATGTCCAATGTTTGACCTAAAAAACATATCTCAAAATATGAAAATAACAGCAGGGCGCCATTTTAAGTATTTTAATGCTTGCAAATGTTTTATTACTTTTCTATTACTTACCCGTGACTTAAATTTAGAAAATAAATAGTTTCATCATTTTATCGACTATTTTATTAAAATGTTATATATTTTATAGTAAGTAATAATTTTTTGAAAACTTCCATAGCGATTCCATATTACATTTATTTAGTTTTAATCAGTTTTAGTAAGTTAGTTTGGATAGTACGCGAGTGCCTTCGCCGCATCGTTTAATAGTCTTTTGAAGCAACTTAGGCGGAAGAGTTTTCAACTCGTATGTCCAACGGAGTTTATAAATTTTCTGCGATGCAATCCCAATGAAAAGCGTGTTGAAAGTAGTGGGGGCACCTCGCTATTTTTGAAAACAGCGGTGAATTCTACCTTGGTATTAGGTTTCTGAAATAAAGTGAAATTAAAGATTTACTTTTCAAGTCAAGTTTAACTCGTACTTTTAAGAAATCAAACCCTTCGTTTTTTTTATAAGTCCTAACATCAAATGAGGTTTTCATGAACTTCATTTTACTAGTTAGTTTAATTTTTTAGTTTGTAGTTTGTAGTTGATAGTACTCAATGTAATAAATGGCCAACCGATTTGAAATTTTGCATACATTTCTGCGATAAGTTATGACCTTCCAAAGATCCCTCCCGACCTCAACCAAATTAAAAATTTTGTAAATCATTTGAATTTTTGCCATTCCGAATATTCAAAATTTCAATTCAAATTATGTTTTTACTTAAGTTTCCCCCAGGTTTTTAACCAAACAACCATTGCTTTATGTCTAAAGTTTATTTTTTATTATTATTTTTAATTTCACGTTTAAATTACAAGCATCGATGCGAAACTTTATCAAAGGCTTTGTAATGTAAACTTATTCACCTGAATCAAGTGCAAGTTGTCTGAGAAATAAAATATGTCAATTCGTTTTAACTGATTTGACAGGAACCAAGAGATCATCATCATCATAATATTTAAAAAAACCGCCCGACCTTGTTCCAATTTGTCACTTACAGTAACAAAGTTCTATTTTTGTTACAACCAGATTAAAATTGTTAAATCCAGTGCCGTCCCTAGAGGTATCTTAACGAATATAACGTATTGTCAAAAAGATATACGCTACTAACTTTTTTTACAGGCTATTGCAATACTATTTACAAATCTTCTGGATTCCTCCTGCATTGGTTGTTGATGAATTGAACTTGCTTGCATTGCATGAATTAAAAGTAGTAATAATAGGCCGGTTAAGGAGCAAAAAATCGCACATAACCTCAATCCCAAAGTACTCTCAAAGAGAAATTATTTCGACATTTTTCTTTACGCGGCACCTACGAATAGATCGATGTGCTCGCCTCTACCGTTGAAGAATACAATAACACAAAACACAGAACGAAAGGTACGAAACCGATCGATCTGAGTAAGAGCAACGAAAAGAGAATTTTGAAAACCGCGTATAGTCGCATAAAAATATTCGGTCCTCGTAAACTTAAAGTCGGTTACATCGTTTTAATCAGCAAAGTCAAACACGAGTCTAACAAAGGTTATACACCGAATTGGACCACGGAATTATTTAAAATTGTTAAAGTGCGGGTTACTAACCCCGTAACGTGTTTGCTTCAAGATATGCAGGGTAAACTCATTATGGGCGGGTTTTATGAAAAAAAAAATTCAGAATACAGTTAACCCTGACTTATATCTCGTCGAAAAGGTGTTGCGCAAACTAGGCAATATCGTTCTAGTGCGCTGGTTGGGATTGGATAACTCGCACGACTCGTGGGTAGACGACGTAGACGGGTTGAAATAAATTAATAAGTTCTAAGATAAATACGTGCGCATGATGACTCAGGAGCAAATTGTGACATCCAACGAATTGTATAATTGATTGGAAAATTTCGAGTTGCAATTTCCTCAGTCAGAAGTGATCCAGCCTCGTTCCTGTAGAACAATAGCAACAAGAAACCAAAAAATCTGCGACAAAACGAAAACAAAGTGCGTCGATCGTATCCCGCAAGAAGAAGAAGAAAACTACGACAATTGAAGCGTTTGCAGCTCCAACGCCGTTAACAGATTGGCTCGAAGTGTTCAGGGACGGCAAAGAAAAAAGTGTCATTTGTGATGCCTTCAACTTAAAAAGGAACTTGGAGTCTCAGTTGGCGCGATTAGAGTGCAATATCAACGAAATAATTTAGCTTTTAACGAGAACTTAAAGTAGTAATAATGTATATAATAAGTAAATTATACAAATCCAAACTTCTGTGTAATTATTATGTGGTGTTAATACATCATTACATAAAAGCCTTATTTACGGTTATATATTTATAATAAACCACAGAACATAGAAGACCTGCGATCAGACAAGCGTAACTTTTTTCCATATTTCGCGTCACCGTGAAGCATTAACACATTACATTGAACAAAACTTCTTCAAAGCAGCTTTGACACCAAAATTGTTTATTGTAATCCAAAACAAATACAAAATTTTTCTTTTTATATTTTTACCCAGTTGAAATATAAAGAAATATCGAGTGGCAAGATTTACAAACTAAAATTTCCGCATATTTCATCCTGTAATAACTGACCCATAAAAATCAATGGTTGGAGTTGCCAAAATGCTATTTCCATAAGACGGTCCAAATATCTTATTCAACAGAATTAATTCTAAATGTAATAGAGAATTCTCATCAGATATAATATTTAAATGTTAGTATCGTTAGTTTCCAAGATAACGGTGACTCAAGCAAGAAATCAGCACTACACCTAATATTTTCGCAAATTGTTTTACTACAAAGGCTTTCTAATGTGAGTTGTTTGACCATGATCTGCAATAAAAATATAATAAAAAATTATTTACGCTTCCGATTCCCATACAACCATTTGATTTATATTTGTCTCGCCGCTGCTGCTTTGTAATCCTAATCCAAAATGCTTATGTTGGTGATTAAGAATAATTTTTCTAATAGCTTTAAGACGTTGAATTGTCGTTTGTAATTTTATTTTTAACCAATAGATAAATCATTTTCCATAGAAACGATTTGGTTGCAAGATTCAATATTTTTATTTAGTCTCCTAAGTCACACATCACTATCTCTAACAGTGAACTTGTCGAAAATATGGTTTTTTAATTTTTGTAAGGAAAAATTAAAATTTGCGCTCTATGAATGATCTGCTTTACGCTCATCGGGATTTACTATATATAACAGTAAATAATACTTGCCCTGTATAATATGTAGATCAATTTTGAATTATTTTAAATTTTTGTAAAGAGTTGGTCTTTCCAATATCTTTGGCTCCCTCGTAGACCAGTTTGTACTCCCCCGATGCAAATTTTTCTAGTCTCGGACGGAAAGCTTCTGTCACACGAGTAGGAAGAAATACTACGGAATTTTCTAATTGTAACAATTTTGGCGCTCGTAATTTTGAACGGAACGCCTAGCGCCAAGTCATACAATTTGACAATCGGTTTTTCAAATTCTCCCTCTGCGAGACAGGTTTGATTCAGTTGACTTAAGTTCATCTATAAATTATTATTAATTATCATTTTATCTAAAAAAAAAGAAACTTACATTTAAGATTGCTGCTGTTCTAGTTGTGGTTACGGGGTGGGAGTACTAAGATGATCTTTAAAACCTTTATAAGATAATAACAAATGTTAAAGCATTAAAATAAAACAATAAAAAAGGTACTTACTGCTTTTTGGTACGAACACCAAACCACTAAGTTAACTTCCGCATTGTACTTATGATATCAAACAACAAACTTAACACTGACAAAATAGAAAAATGACTCGCATTTATACGGTGCGTTCGAATCGAAAATGGTGCAGTTAATACTTTCTAAAAGTTAACAAACAAATACACTTCCACGTTTAAACTCGACACGGATTTAAATCATATATTGTACGCCCGAAGCGGTTGCGTCTCAAGTCGTTCCCGTTTGAAAGCACGTTGACCCTGAGACTCCCACCTGCATAGTTCTCTGGCGACAACATACGTTCATCGCGTTCATTCAAATCGGCGTTAGTGCTTGGGAGTAGAAGACCTTTTGATTTTTAAGTCACTTGTTATTTTTAATTTAACCATGAAACTGCAATGAATACAGAAGAGCGATGCCCATTTCCCTATGTTCCTACAACGGTAAGTTTTATGATTTTAATTACCTTTATACAGTGCGAGTCTTTTTTTTTGTAGGTTTCAGTTTTGGCTAATTTTCTCAGTGATCTCTGAATAACAGAAAATAATTATCACTTTTTTGGTCAGTTTCTACCTGTTTTTCTAATATGATACTTCACATTTTTTTACGTTGCATAATAATCAAATTAAATTGAAGTATATATTGTTTTTAACACCTTTTAAATGACAGGGAATATAAATGTGAATTTGGGTATGCGTGTGTAACTTTTAACAAATATAAGATGATTTTTAAAATTATTCGATGACTCCACGCCGTCATTTACTGAAAGTTTGTTTTAAAAATGTTTTAATGACAGTGAATAGAAATGTGAATTTTGGTATCCGTGTTTAACTTTTAAAAAATAAACAATTTTTAAAATTATTTGATTGAGTGAGTGAAAGTAGTTTATTATTTGCAGAATATGCTACTAAACATCAACAAATTTTAAACAAATGTACATAAAAATACAAGTATTAATAGTAAATTTAACAAATCACAATCATACCTAAAAAAATAATATTAATAATAATAATCAATGACCCCACTTACTCAAAGTTTTGTTTAAAAAATGTTTTTTATAGGAAATGCGACATATACATACTTTGTTTCTTTTAGTTTGTTCTAGAAAAAATATCGGTTTCTCCTTTTGACAAGTCGCACTTTAAGTTGGCGCATCATATATTTAAATCACAAAGAGTACCGGGGATTAGAATTCCCGGTACTCTTTGTGACACGGGCAAAGGAGTGGTGGTCGAAAGAGTGGGAGGGCGAGGCACGTCCCTAGTATACAACAGAACAGCAACAGGAACATCAGCACCAGCAGCAGGAGCAACCCGGTGGATGTTCGACAGAGTGGGAGGAGTGCCCTTCCCTGACAGAAATAAAGGAACGGGAACATCAGCAGCAGGGTGGGTGGTCGACAGAGTGGGACGGCGAGGAGTGTACTTCCTATTTAGATTCCTTGAGGGAACGGGAACAAGAACGTCAGCAACCGGCACACCGGGGGCTGGCCGACGGAATCGATGCAAATATACACTCCTCGCCAGACCAATTTTATAAAAAAAATAAAATATCTTAAAATTGAAGTTTATTTAATTATCCTCCCCATTCTCCATTACCGCATCACCGCGTCCCCGCCATCTGCCGAGGGGGACCTCGCGGTGACGCGGGTGCCGGTTGGAATACTAACGAGAGGGCGCACGCGACATCTGGCAGCAACGGGCGGAACACTAGGACGGCGGGGCTCCATGCGAGGGGGTTCTTGGGATTGATGTTATATGCGGTTTTTTGCTCCTTAACCGGCCTATCATAACTACTATGGAACTTGCAGAGCGTAATTGAAACTATTTGAGTTAAGCACTGCAAGTTCCATAGTAGTAATCAAAAAGCCAACAGGATTATTAGCGAAACATCAGCAAGTTTAATTGGTTTCTTGAGAGCTTAACTGAAACAGTTCCAGTTAAGCACTGAAGAAGCCAACACGATGATTGGCGAAACATGAGCAAGTTCAATTCATCAACAACCGACGCAGGAGATATCCAAAAAATTTGTAAATACTAATGCTTTTTTGCAATTTTTGTTATTTCATTTGAACGAGCTACTAAAAGTACGACTATTTTGGCTCTTGTTAGGGGCCGTGATCCGGTAAAACCGTTTCGCATGTTCACATGGTTGGAAAATAGGTATGTTGACAAGATATTCCAAACAGCATCCAACCTTGGGATTGTTGTAACCATGTTTAACCAAATCTCACTTCTAACCTTTACCAAGATGCTAGAAAAGAGAATATGTAAAATCAGAAGCTCGAACAATGAATTACGAGAGATAATAGTATATTATGCAACAAGTGTGGTAAACGGCACGAGCGACGTGCAACGGAGCGAGTGTTTAATAAACGAGTGACTTAAAAAGTTGTATTTCACAGAAGGGAGTAGAAAAAGAATTTTTTGTTTACGAACCGATAACGTCACGCAACTGTTTATAACTACTACGATAATCGCTGTGTGTTTTTTGAGAACAGTAATGAGAATACTTCACAGCGAGATGTTTAATACATTTAGTTCATTTAATTCATTCTGCAGTAATTTAATTATAACATATACTTAAATGTATCGGTGGAATCAAATAACATATTTCGTCATTTATGCAATGTCATTCGTACATTACATAAATAAAATATAAATAATATAAATAAATAAAATATAAATATAAAAAAAATAAAAATATATTTCTGTGTCAAACATATAATGTATTAGTTTATAACAGGAAGCAACAAATATACTAAACCATTCTGGTTTTATTCACATTCCGGAAAACTGGTATCCGCCCATCACTTGAAAGGCGATTTCATCAAATTAAGATAACCATTAAGTAAAATCCAATTAACTAAGAATGGAAACTTTATTTTGTATTGTATTGTAGAAATTAATAGCAATAGGTACTAAAAAGATTTTAATAAAATACTCAAAATTATTTTATCATTTATCGATAAGAGGAACAGTAGAACATATATTTCATACATATACATACATTTCAACTATTTTTTTTGGAATCGATCATATTGCATAGTGGATAAGTACGTAAGTACATTCAACAATCATTAAAAGTTTTTCTACTTTGATTCCATATATTGAATTAGTTCGTGGGTGCCATCGCCACACCGTTCAATAGTTTTCTGAAGTACCTCAGGCGAAACAGTTTTCAAATCGTATGCCCAACCCAGTTTATTAAAGAGTTTAATACCAATTGTCGTGATATGGAACATATGCAAAAATTCTGATGATCTGTAGTCCCAAGGGAAAGCGTGGTGAAAGTTGTGGTAACCCTCGCCCTTTGTCACAAGTGACACAAATAAATTCTGCGTCGGTTTTAGGTTTCTAAAACAAATATAATAACATATGGAATAAAGCTAGAGAGCGTATTTACAATAAATATATAAATAAAACGAATTTATACTTACTTATCGTATGGCTTGTTTCCATAGTAATGTGCTAAACTATTTACAGTCCAAATCGCGTTTAACAGAGCAACGTATTTAACAAATGAATTTGCCAGAATGGAGACCATCCATGGTTCACCCCAAAGTAATGGTGGAATCATTGAGGGAAACACAAAGCAAAAGAACATCTTAAACAACCCGTAATATCTGAAACATAGATTTTAAAAAGATTTGATTTTAAGGAGTCCGTGGACGATTGGATTCGTATTGGTATCTGATATACATACATTGTTGTTTGGTTTGTTAATCCCCTTTTCCGTTATGTCCTATTCATTGTAAGTTAACTATAGGGTCGCCATTTTTTGTAAGCACTCTTTATTACAAATTTTGCGGTACATTTTACGAAGAATAAGCAAATATATACCATAACAAAATATACTTTGACAGCTCAAATTTAAAACAATGAAAGTGATTTTTGCGGCTCCTCGTAAACTTTAAATAAAAAGTGTGTGATCGCTTTTTAACATTAGCCTCTGTTTTTTGTGAGTGATATATAAAGATTGAATTGATGGCACTCCTCAGTTCGCAATCAGTCAGTCCCCGTATCTGTTTTCATGTAAAATTCGTATACATTTTCGTTGATTTTTGCCACAAGCATGCAAAACACTTAGCTAGACGGAACTGAATAATTATTTGATAGATTATATAACAACTAAGCCGCTGAGCAGGGTTATTTGGCCAGCTGCTCAGTATGCCTGTTCGTTTAGAGGTATGGTTTACCACAGAATATCTAAGGAAGAAAAGAAAGAAAAAAGATTTTTACATTAACAGTGCGTAAAGAAAATAACATTTTCTGAGTTTTTTGTTTGTTCAAATGACGAAAATTGTGGTAACCCTCGCCCTTTGTCACAAGTGACACAAATAAATTCTGCTAACCATTCAAGTAATGCAGACTTTCCCTTACTTTGTGTGAAACCTAATCATTGGATCATCTGTTAGGTCACTGATGTCGATTTGACGCCCTTTTTCGATCACGTCGGGGTGTTTTTTCATGCAGATCCAACCAACGTGGGAAAAAAACAACCCTCTATTTATGTTATGCGGGTCAGCGTTGCTGTCCGAATATTTGTGGTGAACCCTGTGATCGCGCACCCAATCTATCACCGAATTCTAAACAAAGATGTTTGGAAATCAAATTAAATATTTCTTTTTGTAAATAATGTTTACACCATCGCTAGATTTAAATATAGCCCAAATTATTATTTTTTCCACAATCGATTAAAATTCAAATTAAAAGCAAAGTCGGCCTTTTTCCTTAATAATGCTGTGTTTTCACTGGTTTATGGAGACCAAATGATAAATGTATGTCTAATCTTTATTATCAAAATCAAAAAAATTCTTTTGAGAAATATTATATTTTATAAGCCAATAACATATCTATCTATCTAACTATCTTGATTTTCTATTAATGAATATCCGATTAACTTAATTTCTATTTACATATAATACCACAAAATTTGGAGGAATAAATTCTATATGCGCATGCATTTCCTGCGAAAAAAGACCTTACCATTCCACTCATCGAATGTAAAACCAATAGTATAACTTTCAACCTTGTGTTGGCTTTAAATGCTCGGTGGGTCCAAAGGCGATGGGCCCCAGCGGTTACTCCGAATCCAGAAATTATGAAGATGAAATATGCTGCAATAAGCGTGCACTCATTATAAACAGTAGATTTTAAGAAAATAGTATCTTACCATAAACGATGGTCCATGGATACTTCTTATAATCGTGTATAAAGATATAGCACAGGGCCACTGTATGAAAAAAACCCAGAAGAATAATATTTTTCCACACGAGAGGAGTTTCAAATTCGCCGAGAAAACATTTATATTTTTTTCTATTCCCACGATCACCCCCACTCGCTTTGGGGATGGTGGTGATTCCTGGTCGCAGTGTACAAATTGAAGAATCGACGACCATGGCTGCTGAAAAACTGCATTGGCACTCGTATTCATACTTGCTATTCTTTTCAACTGCGGTCAACAAGGGTCGAACTTAATAAATATAAAATGTTAATATCTATTTATCCAATGCAGTGGTGTCATATAATTTTAGCATTTTTGTTACTATGGTTTCATTGCAACAGTTATCAGTTTTCCAGCGATCACAAAATATAGCAAATAGAAGCCATAAGTAGTCGAAAAGGTAAAGTTATTATAAATTACTTCTAATTTGCTATACAAGGCAATATTGAAAATTTTCAATTTTTAAATACTGTTCGTAACTCATTGTTGTAATAAAAAAAACGTTTCTTGAAAGTCAGATGACACACTTTACTTTATTTATAAAAAAAAACTGTGCAAAATCATCATCCAGGTCACAGCACATATTAAGCGGGTGAAATTCGTTTCCGTAGGTAGGTTCCTAATACACTTGACCTTTTTTGGATTCAGTTATTAGGTAAAATTCTTGAATTAACGTGAACTAGAGATTTAGATTGACTACAGAACAAAAAGAAGCAAATTCTTAATGCAAAACAATATATTCTAAATGCCAAGAAATTCTTGAATTGAGGCTAGACAATTATACAACCCTCTTATAAAAACCTCAATTGAATGGTTAAGATCATAGTAGTTTTAAAAAAGCTTTTTGAATTTTAATACGAAGTTCTTCTAAATTCAGGGTTTTCAATGCTCTTAGGTGCGGCTCAGCTGACTGGCATACATAATGTATTTATAACAAAAAACAACATAGTAAAAAATTCTGGATAGTTACCTATCCCTTAAAAGAATAACGCATTATCCTTATCTAATATGCCTATGTATTATTGTTACTAATTAATAATAATTAATTGATTAATTAGTTTATTATTAAGAATTAAAAATATTTAACTGACATAGAAAAGGAATTGAGGTTTGTAGAACCTAACACTAATACAAACACAAAAATACTCGAAAACCATGTCACTATTTAATTTCGCAGCAATCATTTGCTTATATACATTTTAAATAATTTGGTCCAGAAATTCGGATGGAGGCGGGAGAACAAATACAAGTTTTCTTCCAAAGAAGATATTTCTATAGTAATAATCAAAAACCCTTCAACGGTGGATTCCATATCAAATTGATCTAATTTTGAGTAGTTTCAGTTAGTTAGTTTGGATAGTTCGTGAGTGCCATCACCACACCGTTCAATAGTCTTCCGAAGTACTTCAGGCGAAACAGTTTTCAAGTCGTACGCCCAACCAAGTTTATGAAAGAATTCAATGGCAATAGTCGTGACATGGAACATATGCAAAAATTCTGATGCTCTATAATCCCAAGGGAAAGCGTGATGAAAGTTGTGGTGCCCCTCGCCCTTTGTCAGGAACGCCACTAGTAAGTTCTGAGTTGGTCTTAGGTTTCTGAAATAAAGTGAAATAAAAGATATGCTTTTTAAGTCAAGTTTAACTCTTACTTTTAAAAAATCAAACCTTTGGTTTTTTTTCTTAATATGAAAGGAGGTTTTGATAAATTTTAATTTAACTACCAGCTGTTCAAATATTTTGTTGCCTTTTCATATTCTTTAAATTGTTGCTTAATAATTAATAATTTAAATTTTCAAGAACTTATTTCATATTAAACTAAATCGTGGTTAAAATGCTCAGTTTTGATAAACATAAAGGAACTTTCCTTCTATTCAAGAAGGTAAACCGCTTTAGTAAAAAAATGTTAGGTTGGAGCCCTCTGAAGCAACTTGAAATCCAACATCAGTGTTTAGTTACAATTGCAATTCACTGAAATTCACTCTAAAACACATTATGCACGGATCAAGCATGCAAAAAGTGTCACTCTAGACTTCAGCTTATGGTAAACTTGAAGGTTCCCCCATCAACAAAAGAGCGTTTTAAGGTCTTTGAATTGAATTTTGGACAATTTTGCACCACCAGTTTAACATTTTGCACACCTTTCTGGGAAAAGTTATGACCTTCCAAAATTTCAAAATTCCCTTTCGACCTCAACCAAATGGAAAAAACAATTAAATTATTAGAATATCTGAATTTCGTGCATTATGCGAAATTTTTCGTACCTTCTGAAGATAGTTATTCCGAATATTAAAAATTTCAGAATCAAATAATATTATTATTTAAGTTTCCCAACAACCAAACAAGTACTTTTTTATGTCTAAATTTTGCGCCAACTTACACCGGTCGGTGTAAAAGTTTTAATTATAATCTAAAAGGTGTGGATTATGTAGGATCCGATTTGGAAGGCCCTGGGAATCTGCGCAACCTTTTAAATTGATTGCGCAAACTTGAAAGATTCTTATGACATGAAAATGTTTGAATTTGATTTGTTGAAATTTTGGAAGGTCGGAAGTTTTTCCAGGAAGGTGCGCAAAATTACGCTAATATTGCTCTCTCAGAGCATCGCGGTTTATGAACAGTGCAACTAAAATGACTAGAGAAGGTAAAATTTCTCTATGTCTTAAAATGAGTGAGATAATAAGTTGATGCCTACGGGTTTCTAATTTATGTACTAACTTATCGTATGGTTTGTTTCCAAAATAATGTGCTAAACTATTTACAGTCCAAGTCGCGTTTAGGACCGCAGCGTATTTAACAAACGAATTTGTCAAAATGGACACGATCCATGGTTCACCCCATAGTAATGGCGGGATCATCGAGGGAAGCACAAAGCAGAAAAACAGCCGAAACCACTGATAATACCTAAAACATAGAAAATAATGTTTTTAAACACATTTAAATAATTTGGTTCTCAATCGAAATCAACGATTTAAGGATTTATGAGGACCTAATCGGATTTATCTCAGTCCGAAAGGGGTGATTTGGAAGTGTGAAACTTTCAATTTGGTTTGATTTTTAAAAAACAATTTTTGTTTTCAGTATTTCGCTTACTTTGTGTGAAATCTGATCAGTGGATCATCTTTTATGTCACTTATGTCAATTTCACGCCCTTTCTTGATCACGTCAGGGTGCCTTTTCATGCAGAGCCATCCGACATGAGCGAAAAGAAATCCTCTATTGATGTTGTGCGGATCGGCGTTAGTGTCTGAGTATTTGTGGTGAACCCTGTGATCACGCACCCAATCTAACACCGAGTACTAATAAAAAAATAATTTGAAATTAATACAATTACTAATATTTTAATGTTTTTACAATTGTCGTCATACTGTTTCCCAGTTCATTCGCCTGCTTTTATGAAAAATGATAAACTTAGTTTGCAGATCTTGCCATAATTTGCATAATTTGGTTGAATCGTTTAAGCTGACTGCCTTTAAGTTAAGCCAAGTTAAGTTATATATACATAAGTGTAGATAAAATATACCCTTTGGTTTAGTTTTCGTCAGCGCGGTATTTCTTTGTTTATTATTTCTACATGCAATTACAAAGGGTTATGTTTACATTATTTCTTTTAACGGACGTGAGCCGTGACAAAAGGAAGCCGCTTTGCGTTGTTTCCTGAGAGTTCGGGTGTACTTTTGATGCGTACCGACGAGAGGTTTAAAAGCAGGTCACGACACTTGACTACGGGCATTATGTATTAGACGATCAAACTAAAAAGACGTAAAAGACGTGGGTAACGCGGAAAGCCGCTTACTCTTTTTCTTTAATAAGACGAAAGACGAGTGACGAATTGTAAGACGAAAGACGAGTAGAGGAATTGTAAGACGAAAAACGAGTAGACGAATTGTAAGACGAAAGACGGGTAGACGAATTGTTGTTGTCCATGTAAAAGTCCAAAAGAAGTTGTTGTTGTGCGCTTTGTAAATAAGTGAAAATATAGTCTTATTTAATTTGCCAGAACGTCGGACTGTGTTTATTTCCTCAGAAGCTTAGACTAACGATAACCATTCCTACATAAGGCAACTGAGAGATCGAATTAATATGCTTATTTATATATGCTCGTTGTTATTTAATGCATGTTGTCAGTATTTAAATGAATAGTGAAATGAAAACAAAAAGATAAAAACCCCTAATAAATGCAACATTACACAACTTTAATTTCTCTTCTGCGCAGTATGGCTTACCATTCCAGTCGTCGAATATGAAACCAAAAGTATAACTTTCAACGGCGTCTTCACTTTGTATGATCGGTGAGTCCAAAGACGGTGAGCCCCGCCATTTATTCCGAATATAGAAATTACGAATATAGTATATGCTGGAACAAGCATCCATTAAGAATAACAAATGTTAAGCTTTACCCAACCTATCTTACCATATACCATAATCCACGGATGATTTTTATAATCGTGTATAAAAATATAACACACGGCCACTATATGTAAAATTGAATGAGAGATAATATTTTTCCACACGAGTGGGGTTTCGAATTCGCCGAGGAAACATTTGTATTTATCTTTATTCGTGATTGCCGGCAGTGTGAAATTTGGCGAATTATCGATTACCATAACTGCTATAATTAAAAATTCGCGCTAGTATGCGTAAATTTGCTTCAAGCTGCAGTCGACAAGTGACTTATTTTAAGACGCAAACTTATTATAAATAAAAAATATATATGCATTGCAGTGGCGTCCTGCTAAATGTGCGACGCAAAACCTAAATCTATCTAAAAAATGTTGACCTCAACATTAAATTCTAATTCTAAACGGGTCTAAAATACTTTATTCTTTTTTTTAGTTAGATTTTTCAACGTGAAGTTTTTCAACCAAAAGTTTACTGATTTTTCACCATTTCAAGACCCACGTCTTGTGAGAAGTAACATTATGTATGGTTTTTGTTACAGCTGCGGTTTTAAAGGTTCTTCATTAAACTCTATACTGTCAATTTGAAATAAAAAAAATATTTATTAAATCCCTAGCATATCTCTCCGAACCTATTCTAGAACAGAAATTTATTAAACGTTTTTTATAATCGTATTCAATATTTTTCTTTTGATATTTCTTATGTCTATTTATAATATAATAGTATGTCACTTGCAAAATGAAACTAGTAAGTTAAGTCATTTTTAACACACATTATTTAAAACTATCTACCACAGTTAGTAAACACCGTGTTTAAAAAAAACCCGGCGAGCCCCGATTTTTACAAAGTTCATCTTTATGTCAAAAATCGTCGAAAAGTGCGTTGATGCTCAATTGCTCAACTTTCCTGAATTCAATAAGTGCTTTAGAGTTTAGTTTACGTAAATCATTTATTCTCTAAAATAATGCAGTAACGTGTTGTAACTTGAGCAAAGCTTTGGAGTGTGAAAACTTGTTGCAGTTTTACAAAAGGGGTTCTAACGGTGAGGGTAGGGGATCTGACATTTGCAGTAACACAAAACTCCATGGTGGGACCTTAATAAATGTAGAGGTACAGAGGTACTCACTTTATACTCTCCCTGATTGGACAGTCGAACGACTAGTTTCGCAAAAACTACGCTAACTGCGCAGAGGGTCAATGGAAACCTTCATGATAATATTGACTATTTACTGCAGATAAGGAGAAAACTTTAGATGCTAAAAAAGTTCATACGGACATAAAACCAGATATAAAATAACTTTGTCTGTGCATACTATCGGGTGGGAAGGGGTCAGTATCGCCCCAGGTACTGGGCAGGGTTTCAATAATTTACTTATTGTTGCTAATAGGAAATTACCGGAAAAGTACTTCAGAAAGAAAGTGAAATAAATTTTAACTGTTAAAATATATTTCGATAATGAATTTTTACATTTTTAATTGTTATAATGTGTATTATTATCTAGCTGCAAATATTTTTTTTTAATTTCTTGCATAGATGAAACGTTCGAACTTTTAAACTTTAATTGTTTGTTGTTCCTGATTAGTGTTATGTATTGCTTCGCTATGCTTTTGTTGGCCATTAATTCACACAAGATTATTTGTCGAGCACTTATAATCCTCCTTAGTTTGGATCTCAGTAACTATTTCGATTTCGAACGGCCCAAGTATAAGGGCAGAGACGAATTATAGTAATTGAAAGATACGAGACAGATCACTTCTAATGAAACTCGAATAACAAAACCAAAGGGCGCACTGAAATTTGCCAGATTATAGTATGACCAAGTCATCAATGCTCCCGTTGCGGTGCTGCCATTTGGTGCGGCGGACATTAATTTGGTAAGTTTTCAGAAATAAAACATATTTCAATTAAATTTGTATATATTTACTTAGGTTGTTATCCAGTAACGGCAAGAGCATTTATTATTCAATACTTAACATAAATTTATATATATATATATATATATATATATATATATATATATATATATATATATATATATATATATATATATATATATATATATATATATATATATATATATATATATATATGAACTTGTTCAGCATATTTATGATAAACTAGATATCGGAGAGACAGTAATCGGAGTTTTTTTCGATTTATCGCGCGCCTTTGACTCCTTAACCTTCAGTATAATGGCAAAGAAGCTGGAATGCTTGGGACTCAAGGGGCCTATCAATGATTGGATCATATCGTATATGAATCATAGGAAAATAAGTGTCAAAATAAATGGAACGTACTCAGACCTTTATAGCGTCAGCCTGGGCACGCCTCAGGGGGGAACTTTGGGTCCATTATTATTTCTTTTATATGTGAACGATTTGCCGGAATTTCTCAACAGTGACTGTCGTGTCTTTATGTACGCGGACGATACGTCCGTCTTTGTCTCTGGAAGAGATGCAGAAGTGCTGATGGATGATGTATCTCTTGTTGTCTCACAGTTTAATAACTTCTGTAGGCAAAATCATTTGATCGTGAATGTAGAAAAGACAGTTGTGGTTGAGTTTACTGGTCAGTACATTAAACCTTTAGCTGGCTTATCGATCAGTTTTGCTGGTTCGCCATTGGAAATAAATCAGACCACGAAGTTTCTTGGTCCTTATATTGATAGCTCCTTGAGATATATTATATATATATATACATATATATATATATATATATATATATATATATATATATATATATATATATATATATATATATATATATATATATATATATATATATATATATATATATATATATATATATATATATATATATATATATATATATATATATATAATATAACTTAACTTGACATGACACTAATTGCCAATAGTTATGACTAATTATAAAGCACAAATGTATTGTTAAATATAAATATGGGATTTTATAAAATTAATCGATAAATTGATATAGATTTATCCTGGACTCGTCGAATTTCAGCTGCGCCCCATAGAACTAAAATTGGTCAAATAATTGCCCAGCAATTATTAATTACCAGGCGCTTAAACTTTTTTTGTAAATTGGTTGCTCGTCAATACCGAAACAAAGTTTAAATAGTAATTTAAAAAAAATGATTTAATTAGTTCAAGGTTCAGAGAATTCCAAGAAAGTAAAACTCCACCGCTTTTCGAATTTTCTCGTAACGAAACGTACTTCGGAGCCATAATACAAAAAAATTGGAACATGATTGGTTAGTGGTTGCTGCCATTTTGCTTTGCTCTTAAGGCGCCTACAGACAGTCGTACATGTATTAAGACATGAACGGGCGTCGATGTTCCGTCGTACATTGATGTAGATTGACTATTTTTATCTCCACACGTACAGGCTTGTGTGTCAGTATTGTTCGCCATTTTAGTTTTGTCAACCATGTCGAACGAAGATGATAAATTATATTTAGTAGCATTAACGTGCGTTTGCGTTAGAAAAAGAAAGCAAAATCAACTTAAGAAAAAGCGCTGTCTATGAAGGAAATGGGTTAAAGATTGGCTATTGCGAAGAAATCAATATTCTCATATTAATTTACTTGAGGAGCTACGGTTAGAACCTGACGATTGGCGCAACTATCTCCGCATGGATGAAGATAGTTATGTAACACTCCTAGAGTTGGTTACACCGATCATTAAAAAGCAGGACACACAGATGAGGTCTGCTATATCGGCACATGAAAGACTATCAGTCACATTGCGGTATTCAGCCACTGGAAGAAATTACGAGGATTTGAAATTTTCTACCATCATTTCTCCACAGTCATTGTGTAATATAATTCCACAAACATGCAGTGCCACTTATGAAGTGCTAAGGGATGTACAATACCTATATTACCTTAGTTAAAATAAGTACAAGCTCCCATAATATATTCTATTTTTTTTAATACAACGTGAAAAAATTATGTTACAAATAACTTGGAACTTAATTATCTTCAGTCAGAGGGTTATACTCTCCAAAAAATCTTGAAGTTGTGGTGGAGCTTCCCCCGATATTTTCTTGAGAAGTGATCTCAAAACCCTGAGTTTGAAGTGATGTACTCGGTAGCAAATACGTTTGCATTTCATGTATTCTGCCTGATATATTTGACACAAATTAAATTAAGACAAAAGATGTTCAGATTTTCACAGTTTTTAATGCTTTATGACAACTGTTTCGGCAACACCATGCCTTTATCAAATACAATCAAATTTGATAAAGGCACGGTTTTTGCCGAATCAGCATAAAGCATTAAAAACTGTGAATATCTGAACATTTTTTGTTCTAATTTAATTTATTTTAAATGGATTTTCATCAAGTAAAAGCCACCTCAGTCCGATTTTTGATATATTTGAATTTAATAAATAATTATTCTGCTCTTGATGTTGCTTTAAATGCTATATACCGGAAGAACCTATGCTGCACTCTTTCTATGACCTGTATGTGGACGTTATACGAATAGAGGAACAATTATCCAGGTGTGGACGCAGGAGGGAGCAGAACAGTAATCTGAGAGACGGAACACTCTGAAAGTCCACCGTACAACGCCTAATAAAGCCTAAAATCTGAAGTGATTTAGACACAATAAATGAAACATGTGTGTAAGTCAACTTAATATCGAGTAACACTCCAAGATCCCTTATTACGGAGGCCTGCAATAATGGTGTCCCTTTTATGTTACACGTAAAATGTTGGGGTTTCTGCTCCGGTAAAAGTTCATTTGTTGGCATTTATTAATATTTGGTTCCGTTCCATTTAAATCGCTCCACAGCGATAGGTGATCTAAATCGGACTGGAGTTTTATACAATCATCAGCATTATAGACCCTCATATAGAATTTTAAGTCGTCAGCAAATAATAGGAAACATGCCTGATGAAAACATGAGGCAATATCATTCACATAATCATTGAAGAGCAGGGGTCCCAGGTGCGATCCTTGTGGAACACCAGAAGGCACTCTAATTTCGGTGGATTGGAGGCTCTGGACGGGCACAATCTGCACTCTTTCAGTAAGGTACGATGTTAACCATTCCAAAAGTTTTCTCTAAATTCCAATATTTCGCAATTTTTTTATTAAGATTTGATGATTTACTCTATCAAAAGCCTTTAAAAAGTCTGTGTAAATGGCATGAACGTGAGACCCCCCTCCAATGATTCCAGTAGAAAATCTGTGAATGTGAGCAGTGGGAGAAATCCAAATTGTTGGTCGATGAAGCAACCTTTAAGGCCAGAAGATAAATAGTCGCAGACTAAACTTTCGAACACTTTAGGATTACAACTCAGGATACTGATGGGCCCCTAATAATTGACTTGCGAGTTATCGCCGGATTTTAGGATAAGGGTAATGAAGGTTGATTTCCAGTAATTTGGTAAAGTTCCCGTTTTTAAAGAATGGTTAAAGATTATATAAAGTGGTCTAGAAAGTATGAAGCTGCATTGCTTAATAAGATATGGTGGGAGGCCATCGGGACCGGATCCTTTGTTTTTGTCGACAGTTTCTTGTAATAGATGAAATCAAAATGTTCAAGTGTGAGAGGTTGACATCTCCAGAAGGTGAGACACAGTCCCCGTCACTATACATATTCGAAAAATAGTCTGCAAATTAATTGACAATATCGTCACCCACAGAACAGGTCATGTCGCCAAAGTGCACAGCCGATGGAATAAAGTTTCGTTCCTTTTTACTGTTGACGAACTTGCAAAAATTCTTAACGTTTTCTGTTAAGGACGATTCAGTCAGAAATATATATTCCTGGTAACACTGCAATTTGCATTTAGCTCTTAAGTCTGAAAATCTTCTTCTTCTTCTTCTCAATTATTGTATCTTTAAGCTCTGGGGAAAACCAAACTGGAAACTTCTTAGCCGAAAACTTGTTTAAGGGAACGTAAATATCGATAGCTAAATAAACTATATCGTAGAACACATTGATCATATCCTCAAGGGTTCTGTTAGCAAATAAATTATTCCATTAGAATTGCGACAAAAACTCAGTCACTGCTCCCAAGTTCATTGATTTAAAATCTCTATAAAAGCCGTCACCCCTTAGACCAGAACTGTTGAAAGGTACTGAATCACCTTGAAAGGAGAAAGAGAGTGGTGGGTGAAACATGTCTATTGGCAGCAGAGCACTGTCCTCTTCAACCATTAAAAAAATTTACTACTAAATCTAACTATATTGTTTATCGTTGACAGATCCTCACTATGCCCGAATCATTATTTGAGGCAACTCCTTTAGCCCAATATCGTGCACTGAGTCCGTACCGATCAGGGCCGTTCCGAAGACTCCAAATCTTGCCCATGCCAAAGCAGATGATGAGGGATCTCCTCCCCCTTCCATGTACCACATGCACTCCGGGTCGTCTCCAATGCCTAACAAGCAAAGATGCCTCCTAAGCCTGCAATTTCCTATGTAGGCCCCTGTTAGTGCTTTACACTCACTTGTGGGCAGTCGAAGCAGCTCCCTGGTCCAAGGGAGGGCGGGCCCATTTATCATAAGCCTCGCATGCCTCATTCCCGGAGCAACCCTCCAGCCCACCACGGCCCGTTCTCTCACCCAGGCTTCGAGCCTCACGCACGGGGCGATCCCCAAGCGGGACTCTGGTCCCATATGCCTGTGCGAGGAGCCCTCCCTGGGTAAGGCGTCCGCTGCCTCATTGCCCCGGATCCCGGTGTGATCCGGGACTCAGACCAACGTGACATTCCTCACATCGGCCACTTTCCTCAGTACCCATTTGCACTCCTTAACCAACAAGGAGCGCGTGCGCACTGCCTTTAACGCCATAAATTTAGCCCTACTTGATTTGGACTATGGGTATTGTATAATATGGTATGAAGTTGTCTGTTCTACGTATTGTAATCCAATGTTATTTGTCCTATGAGTGTACAGCCCAAGACTAGCAACCAATGAATGCACGTAGGTAGTGATTACGTTGATCCTTGATGTTGCAGGGTAAGGCTAAAAAGCCATGATGAGTGTTATTCTAATTTTTAATCAGTTAATACACTTTGTGAACCAAAATGTTGACTTTTCTTCAGGACTATAAAAGTCCTGAATATTACTGAATATTACAACGGCCACATGAGTCCGCTTTTTGCTAAACTTAACCTTTAGAGAATCTATTACGAGTTACCTTCGATCTGAAATCGATAAGAAGACCGGTTACCCCCACCACAAAATATACTACAAATGAATTCGCCTGTGTTGTGAATTTTTTCGTGGATTATTTGCAATTCATATGCTATTTTTTAGTTCTTATTCCCAAAATTTATATAAACATAAACAACAAATGTGAGTATATTGTTTACATTAAAAACATTATTTAAAATCTACGGAAAATATCCGATCGCTTCCAAACCCGTGACCCAGGTACCGGAAACAATATGCTTAACGAAGTTAGGGTCTTAAGATGACACTGTTTGCACGCCTGATCAGTGCATAATTGGTTATTTTACACTAAGCAGTAGTAAAGTGTCTTTTGTTACAACCTTGTGTAGGGAATTGTTGTATACGTACCTATTTTCTGCGATTGTGCGAAAGGTATTAGTTAACAATTTTGCACCTAAAGTTTTAGTTTTTGCACAATTACAAACAATACTTTGAAATTTAACAAATGTGTGCTACACATTCAACTGTGTTTTTTGAATTCACAAACTTCACTTGCTATATAAAATTTTGCACTTTTTGCACTACTTGCACATTGAGTCGTTCCCAAAGCAGAAAGAAACGTTGTTTATGTGAAAACTTGAAAATTCTGACAGGGCGTTATTGGGACGTTGCCATTATTAAATTTAAAAAGGTTAATTATATAAAATGAAATGAACCAGTTTATTTTATACTTTATTTAATGATCTTTTTAATCTAGTAAAAGGTTTTCAAAAATAGAAAACAAAGTTGGGCACAAAATGTTGTTCAGTGGGCCAACCTAATCACAGCTAATGACAAGCACCATTACAACATTAAACAAATATTCCATTAGTTTTTTATAAAGCCCTAAAAGCGCCAGATACTATGAAATTTACTAAAATTATTTAACAAATTTTCACAACAATTTCTGTAAATCCCTGTATTCAAAACATAAATATTTAAAAATTCTAGCAGTACCACTAAATACAAACAACTAGCAATTAGATAACATTGACATTTAGAGCCATACACCTTTAATTGTTTAAAAAAAAATTGCGTCCCATTCTAATGTGTTTTTTTATAGGAAATTGTTTCTAAATATTCAATCCAAAATTTTCTAAAATTTCCTAAGTGGCCCACGACCTTATGGCAGGGCCTGTGACATTGCAGCACCTTTGCACGCGTCTCCGCCCTTTGTGAAAACCAGTGGTAGTTCATACAAGTGTTGCACTTCTTTTTGCAGAACTTTGTTCCTAGATAAACCGGATCCGTTGCCCACTAGCCTTGTTATTTGTTGTCGTTGAAGAATTTCCTTAGGCATCATACTAAAAACACAATTTAACAAGACATTTAAACAAAGTAACATGAATGGGAGCCTGTGGGACGTCACACCGCGGCTAAATATCAGGTACGGGGTATCTCGGTTATTGTTTAAGATAGAAAGTTGTGATTTACGGGACACTGAGCTACTTTTTTGTGAAATTAAAGATGCGGTAAACAAAATTATATTGCTTTGCTCAAGCCAACAAGAAAACGTGATAAGCTTAATTTTTTTTCATTGAAAAATTAATCCTCCTAATTATTGGGAGAATACCTATGCAAATTTTCCACAAGACCCCGGCATAGGGAACGAAAAACCTGGCCCAATCCTATATTTCCCACGTGAATATTTTCAATTGAAGCCGTCCTATCTGGTGAATGCCTTTCGCCGAGACATGTCGGAATGATCCTTAAGTCCGAAATACTATTGTCATCCTCGCCAAGCACTAAAATTTTTTCCCAAACTTTCGCTAAAAGAGAGAGATATCTTAGTAAGAGTTTTTAAATTGACACTAATATTGCCTACACTGTGGTACGCTAAAGCCAAGCTCCAAAGTCCATTGTTGCAAAGTTTTCACAAAAGTAGCCAAGGTGTTGCCCCCATTTAATGAAGCGGCCACTGCAATAAACTGCTTGTTGAAGTATGGAAAATAACCATCGGTCGACTTGAGGGGGGGTCCGGTTGGGGGAACATAGCCCTTGGCTATAAAACCAATTTGGGCTGAGGTAGAAATGTTTAATACCGCGTCGTAAGGTGATTCCAATGTCGATAAAATAGAGCACTGTATATCACCGCAACTTACACCTGAAAATCAATTAACCAACCTTCCATTTTTTTTAACAGAAGAAAAATATTACCTACGGGGGTTCCTTTTGGAATGCTATGCCAATTATCAACTAAATACCCTGCTATCTGTCCAACTTCTTTAACTTGAGGTAACAAATGAATTGGGAATCCGGCTTCAGCGAGAATATCAATGTTCCACTCATTAGTAGAGCAATTGAAATATCCCCAAGAAGCGGCATTCTGATTGGAAGTAACTGGTTTTTCTAAATTACATAAAACCGAGATAACAAAATCCATTATTGTACCCGAACAGTTGTACTTCTCTAGTTTGTGAGGTCTGAAAGAAAAAAACATTTACAAAAACAAAATGGAATAATTAATTAAAGTAAAATTAATTAAGTAACGCGGCCTTGAGATTGACATTATCAAGGCAGAGAACACAATATGTATCCTGAATTCAATAATTCAAATCTCCTGCTTGACTCATTTTACATTAATTTATTTCTACATATAAAATTAAATAAATTAAAAACTCAATTCAAATTATACACTTCTTACTTGTTTCTTGCCATCCAAAAAATAGTTGCTGAACCAAATCCTGTTGATATTCTTATATGACTTTGAGGTGGAGGTAAAGTGGCCAAAAAATCGGTATCACATCTGTTATCCTGCCATGTATATAAAGCTGAGACTCGTTCCTTAACAACATCAAATCTAACATTCCTTTCTTTACCTACCATCTCCCAAGCCTTTTGTTTTTCATCATTATTCCAGAACATCACACCATGCATTTGACCACATATTCCAATTTTACCAACCTATAACCAATAAAAAATTAATAATTAATATTTCTAATGTTTTATGCAAATCAGTTAAAAAATAAAGATTTGTATTCCAATAAAGAAAAAATACATTTAAAAGCACATGTTTATTATTGAGGAAGAACATGTTTATTAGTTTAGCAGCGCCGGAACACATAAAAAATATATTGGCCGATATATTTTGTTTTATGTTAACATCTACTAAAGATAAATAAATACTCTTAATATATATTACTATACTTAAAGCGGACCATATTAATCAAAAAGGTAATTAGGAGAATTGTATACATAGAGGACTTGGATTTATAAATAAAAAGTAAATATTAAAACAGATGGCAAAACAATTAAGGCAAATTATCCAAAAATAGTCCCCCAGAATTGTTTATTTATAAAAAAATAAATAAATATAACAAGATTGCTTTGGAAAAATCGTCGCTGGGTGGGGCAAAAAGGGACGCATTGTTTTTCTATCGTACTTCTGGGGACCACTATCGAACTTTCGCAAAATCGATGTAATTTGTGAAATGTTAAAATTTGTGCAAATAATAGCGTTGTCGAATGATATTTTTTTCAAATATCTCGCGAGCCCTGAATAATTGACGAAACCTGAAAGTCTCTCGACACAATTTACGATACCGTTCAAATCAAATTAACGGATTTTTAGCAGTCTTTCATTTATCATCAATAATTTATCAACAAAAACGTAAATTTTTAGGATGTTTTTTTATATTTTTGCCCATAAGCGAGACACCCTGTATATGATTCAAACAATGTTCGAAATAGAGGTTATAGTCCAGGATCTCACACGTTTCCTGGTATATGATTTTTTTCAATGGATTAAGCGGTTTTCAAGAAAATACTGTTTTCTGAAACCATGCAGCACGTGGTAATGGTAAATGGCGTTATCAGGTCTAGATTGAGGGCGAGAAATGGTGATTTTCATTTGGATTTTTTCAAATATCTCGAACAACGTATGTGACAGAAGAAAACCGTGAATACAAAAATTGTAGCTTTCGATGTGGTATATAACATTGTTTAAACCAATTGGCCATATTATTTACGAACTTTGATTTACGGCTAATAATTTAATAGCGAAGAGAACGATTTTCAGGATCTATAACATTTTTGTCTATAATTCAAAAATCCTATATATAATGGGAAAAATGTCTGAAATAAAGGTTGTGGTCCCGAGAAAATAATGTTTTTCTGGAAGTCAAAAGATACCACAAAAAATTTTCAAAACTACTTTGCGAGATTTGAGTAAGTTCTTTTTCAACGGATGAAATTCTTCCAAATCTGAAGTCGATAGCTGCAAATTTAAGACACCTGTTAATTTTTGAATATAGCACTTAATAACTTGAACACCCTGTACAACAGGTGAAAACCTTAAATACAAAAGTTTTAGCTGTAGACTGACATCTGAAGCACAGTCTTACAGTTATAACAAATGTTCAATAATTGCGGGACCCATTTTTCAGTTTTTTTGAATTTTCGGCGCACCCTATACATTTCTTAAAAACTTTCAGGAATAAAATTTTATGGAGCCGAATCTTATGCGTCTTAACATTCGAGAATTTTTCTGGCGCACAAACCGTTTCCGAGAAATGATTTTTGTCTTGGACCTCTGCAAACGCGGTTTTTAATTTTTTTAAAATACTTCCCCACCCAACCCCCCAATTTCAATAGGTTCCGTTAGGGGAACAAACGCTATTTCTCTACCAAATCTGAAGTCGATAGCTTCAAATTTGCCGAAGGTTGAACGCCGCCATCTTTCCATGTCTTATGCATCCCATGGACGGTCGAAAAGGAGCAAAATTTGAAGCGTGTAGCTCAAACCGTTCGGAAGTTATCGTTGAAAACCTTGGAACAGAGAACTGAGAACGGACAGACAAAAAAGACGCTAACCATTTCTGTACCAATGAGGGTTCCGTAGGACCTACCATTACCGAGATCTCGAGTAGACGAGTAGTGAGGAGCGAGTATACTTTCAAAAAGAATTGATTTCCTCGATTTTTTGAAAGTAACAAGACAGGAATTTCCTTTCATGATTTGTCTTTGAACTACTAATATTAATTTATAAAATTCTTATTTATATAAATAAACCTGAATAGTCCAACAAAACAAATATGGAAAATATAGTTTATAGTGAACCCTTCTGTAACTCTCACCTTTTGAAGTAACTGTTTTGGCAACTTGGAAACACATAAATTAATTGCTGAAACTATTGTAAATACATCTTGCTTGTTCCCACCTGGACCAGTGTCACTCGGAACATTTGACTGTGTGTCTTTATTATGTAGCGCTTCAACTGTATTGTCTTTGGATGTGTTTACAATACAGACTTTAACGGATGTGGTGCCTATGTCAATGCCAAGAATATACTGGTCCATTCCTATATCTAAAAACCAGAAACAACAAAAATTCTTTATAGAAGTGTACAAATATGAAACAAGCTTCTGCCAATTAACCAATATACCGTCCCCAGCGGCTTGTTAACAAACAATCTCGAATAAACATAATATTTTCGCGACATATCAAATTATATATTATCTGCCTGGTATAAAGTTAATATCGCAGCATGAGATTCCCTGATAAACTTGTTCTTACGCAAAAATCAATTAACTATACTAACCTGATACGCCGATATTATTCAACTAAATTCGTAATTGCCGGTCCAAACTGACGTCGTTGCTAAAGCAGTCAATGCAGAAGCTCATTAGCTCTCTAAAAATAAGGTACATATATGTATCGAATGATACGTTGAAAAGGCAAAGTTTAATTTTCATACATTACATTTAACATAATCTAAATTCATGTTTCGGTCTGTTTTTTCTATATAAGAGCCATTAGATTCAATAATAATAGTCCAAAAATAATTACATTCAGTTACATCATTCTGTTCTTAAATGAACTAGACATTAATAAGTTAGACACTGTACAAATATAAAAGGACATAATGAACAAAATTAATTGTCTTTTGAAAATTAAATTAAAATTGGTTTTAGAACATTTTTCAATTCACATAAATTTTAAAAGCGGATTTCTAGATTTCATATTTGGTCCAGATGACGCACAGACTATTTCTTCTTCTTAAGTTCACTGCGTGTGTCGAAAATTGTCAGGGACACTCGTCCATAAAGCACAGAACATTCAATTCAATTATGCGTTTCACAAAAAATGTTGGGCAAGACTGCTAGGATCATTCGCCCATTGCCGACTTCCGTCGAGGATCTTCGCTTTTGGTCATGGACCAACACGTACAAAGAAGACATATAACCAATATTTGCTAAACTAGCAAAAAACAAATTTGACCGATACCAAAAAAAACCGACACCCCCCCGCTTCCGCCGCGGACCATCCGGGCCCATCCGGCCTCCATACCGGCGTGATGGGGAAAAACGAAGGGATCGGCGACGATTATTACTTTACAACGTTCACAAAACACTGAAAACACTAAATCCACTCAGTGGAGACCGATTTCAAAATTTTTGGACGATTACAAAGGATTCTGTAGGGAACGAATGGAGGTTAAACCGCCGCGTGCAATGTTCCACCACAGAATAGGACCTTCAATTCAATTCAATTCAATTAAATGATGCGTTTCAGAGATAGCTGTTGGGCACGACTACATGGATCATTCGCCTATTGCCGACTTCCGTCGAGGATTCTCGGATCTTCTCCAGGAAGGAGACAGAATTTTGAAGTTCTAAATGTCGAGGATTTTCGTATCTTCTCTGGCGAAGAAGACTGATTTTTGAAGTTTCAAATGTCGAGGATTGTCAGATCTTCTCCAGCGAAGGAGACTAAACTTTAAAGTTCCAAATGTCGAGGATTTTCGGATCTTCTCCAGCGAAGGAGACTAATCTCAGAAGTTCTAAATGTCGAGAGTTTTCGGATCTTCTCCAGCGAAGGAGTTCTTCTTTTGAAATTCTAACTAATATACATGATGATTAAAACCAACCCATAGACCATGAGCTAGCAAATCCAAAAGCGGTTATAAGCAGATACCACATGCATCAAGGAATCTAACCACAAGTCGTGCAACAGAATCCATACATCCAGGGGGAAAAAGTGCAGAAAAGGCACTAATAGGAGCGGGTAAGCTGGCATCAATGAGGGACTCATACAAAATTTGGGAGTTATTCCGATGCAGAGCACAATCAAACAAAATATGTTCAATATCTCCCACCCCTCCACAAGCACACAGGTTAGATGTTTTGACGTTTATCTTGTAAAGATGTGCAGGGGAACTACAATGATTACTCCTCATTCTGCACACTGTTGTAATCTCCTTTCTAGACAGCTGCAGTTTGTGGAACCATGGAACTGTTGGAGGTGTCTTATAAACTGCACTATAAAGTCTGCCCTTTGAACGGCCCCACTCTCTCCACTTGATGGCCCAGATGTGCCACATCTTTGCTCTAATCCTTTTCTTAGATTAACAGCCATTTGAGGACGTTTATAAAATATATTGTTGGCGTTCCATATCGATATTTAAAAATTAACAAAATCTTCGAAATCTTGACAGATGAACGGACGCGCGTGACTCACACGTTAATGTTTCGTACAATGATAAGAATTATAATAAGTAGAGGGTTCGAATTCGTTATAATTCTTTTACTTTACCTGAAGCTCTTGTCGGATTAAACAGTCACGCAAAATTTCTTAAAACAACAAAAAATAATCGCTATAAAGACTAAATAATATCTTATTTTATGTGCAATGTCACGTTTAGCTACACATTCAATTCAATTCAATTCAATGATGCGTTTTACAAAAAAATGTTAGGTTGGACTACTAGGATCATGCGCCCATTGCCGACTCCGTTGAGGATCTTCGCTTTTAGTAATGGACCAACAAGTACAAAGAAGATATATAACCAATATTTGCTCAACTAGCAAAAAACAATTTTGACCCACTGAAAAGCGAAGGGATCGGCGACGATTATCACTTTAAAACGTTCACTAAACACTGAAAACACTAAATCCACCTAGTGGAGACCGATTTCAAAAATTTCCAGCAGAATCCAGCACAGAACATTCAATTCAATTCAATGATGCGTTTCACAAAAAACTGTTGGGCTAGCACAGAACATTCAATTCAATTCAATGATGCGTTTCACAAAAAACTGTAGCACAGAACATTCAATTCAATTCAATTATGCGTTTCACAAAAAAAATGTTGGGCTCGACTGCTAGGATCATTCGCCCATTGCCGACTTCCGTCGAGGATTTTCGCTTCTGGTCAATGACCATCACGTACAAAGAAGAAGAATAACCAATAATTTGCCCAGCTAGCAAAAAACGATTCTGACCGATACCAAAAAAATCGGCTTCCCCCCACTTCCACCACGGGCCATCCGGGCCAATCCGGCCTCCATACCGGCATGAACAGGGAAAAACGACGAGGCCGACGACGATTATCACTTTAAAACGTACACTAAACACTCAAAACACTAAATCCACACCGTGGAAACCGATATCAAACTTTTTGGGACGAATACAAGGGATTCTGTCGGAAGCGAACAGAGGTTAAACCGCCGCGTGCAATGCTCCACCACAGAATCCTCCAGCACAGAACATACAATACAATACAATTATGCGTATCACAAACACTGTTGGGCGAGACTGCTAGGATCATTTGCCCATTGCGGACTTCTGTCGATTTTCGCTTTTGGTCAATGACCAACATGTACGAAGATGAAATATAACCAAAATTTGCTCAGCTATTTTCACCGATACCAAAAAAATCGGCTTCCCCGGGGTTCCACCACGGACCATCCGGGCCCATCCGGTCTCCATACCGGCGTGAACACGGAAAAACGACGGGACCGACGACGATTATCACTTTAAAACATACACGGAACACTAAAAAAACTAAATCCACACAGTAGAAATCGATATGAAACTTTTGGAGATTCTGTCGGGAGCGAACGGAGGTTAAACTGCCGCGTGCAATGCTCCACCACAGAATCCAAAGCACAGAACATAAACGCTAAATATGGTGAATCGACCAAATTTAACTCCATAATCCTCAGCAGTTGAGAATACTTGTAACATTGTTTGTCCGCACAATTGGACTTAATGAAACCATGGAAAGAAGAGCGAAAAGGATGTATTTTTTTTTACCCTCAAACTTGCGTGCAATGCCGATGATCGACATCGAAGATCTTTGCCTCAGCAGATAATGCGCGCCTTGTCGTAACACATTTGCCTAATGTTTAGTGTAAGAGAATGACGTTTATTTTCCGTGTATTCTTTCGTGATTCTGTGGTGGAGCATTGCACGCGGCGGTCTAACCTCCGTCCGCTCCTAGCAGAATCCGCTGAATTCGTTCGAAAAACCTTTGGTATCGGTCTTCAATTTGTGTGACTCTGTTTCGGCAGTGTTTGGTGTTTGTTTTAAGTGTAAAAGTTCCGCCGGCCCCGTTGTTTTAACCGTTCACGCCGGTATGGAGGCCGGATGGCCCGGATGGTTCGGGGGGGTGTGGGTTTTTTTGGTATCGGTCAAAATTGTTTTTTGCTAGTTGCGCAAATATTGTTTATATGTCTTCTTTGTACGTGTTGGTCCATGACCAAAAGCGAAGATCCTCGACGGAAGTCGGCAATGGGCGAATGATACTAGCAGTCGAGCCCAACATTTTTTGTGAAACGCATAATTGAACTGGAACTTGAATTCTTTCGTCTAATCTCCAAAAAATAGTAGTAAAGGAAAAGGACCCCTTGGACCCTTGGGGTTAAACTATGTACGATCAGTTAATTATAATTTGCCATAATAATTGAGTACAGTTTTTTAAGGCACTGTTACAAGAACATTCTGAAGTTTCAATTCATTCCTAGTCGGCGAAAATGCTGGTGCAAAGTAGCTAATTATTCCACAAGTAGCCGAAAAGAATTTAATGTATCTACCTTTTGCAATATTAATGTGGATCTTTCATGTAATATAACCATTAAACCATTAAATGTACATAAGTATCAAAATCAAGATCGGTTAATTATACAAGCCAACACGAAATGTATTGATCTCATTAAACATAAAGCTGAGGCAAATAATGTTAATGTATTTGACTATGAAGACAACACAGACTTGGAAAATGATATTCTCTGTACTCTCAGAGTTCCTTCAAAAGCGAGTGGGTTAATTTTTAAATACTTTTGAAAATACAAATTTAATTTAATAATATTCTAGACTTGAACATAAAAGGAAAAAAGGACATCCATATTGGGTATTTTTTATGTGATAATGTACACATTGAATCTTTAGGGGGAAATATTTCTGTAGAAAAGTTTGAAGGTCAAAGAATTGATATTCTTGCAAGATATGGAAACATTAACATCGATAAACAAATTCAAGCTGCTCAAATTACTATGAGGGCTAATAAAGGGGTGCTTTTACGGCAACCTGACTGAAAAGGTTTATATTAACTGTAATTTTTCAGTATGTCAGTAGTGGTAAACTTCAAGCACTACAGTCACATTTGGAGATATGCGAAGGAGACTTATACATAGACTCATGTTATTCTGACTCTTGTACATTTATTGTTGAAAAAGGAAATATGCATCTCCATAATGTTCACAGGCACTGTAATATTAAGATTGATAAAGGCCAATTAATTTTAGGTAAAAAAGTAGGCTTGTTAGATTTATCATTATTTTTATTTTATTTTAGCTGGTTTTGATGGGCAATTGTCAGCAATAATCAATTCTGGCTCGGCTGACATACACTTATCAAGAATAAATGGAACTTCTACCCTGACTGTAAGTGATAAAATTGAGCTAAAAGTCTCTGAAGAATGCTTACAATCCACAAGATTTGAAATTAACTGCAATGAAATTTCTAATAATACAGACCAGGTATTAATTCGAAATGGAAATAAAAGTTCACTGGTCCCTGAAGGAGAGGTGAAAGCCAGCATGCTTGTGAATTGTCCCCGTGGTTATGTGAATGTTCAAAGGACTACTTGGAAAGATATGATCTTGACAAAAGTAAAAAGCAATACACAAAAAAAACATTCACAATGATTGTTAGTAACTTCTTTAAAATATTTGTAAAACATTGTATACATCAGATAATTAAATAAAGACAATACAAAAAATAATATACAACTGCATCAAGCTACTTTAAAAAATTTTCTCTAAAAACACTATAAAGCTTTTTTGCCTTCCGCGTCCCCAGTCCAGGGCATTCGGACAACTGTTGCTCAGTTGCTTTAATAATTCCTTCCAAGGTCTTAAATCTACTTATTAGATTCCTGGCATCTGTTTTGTTGATAGGCTTAATTGAAGTTAATGCATTTAAAAGCTATAAAAAATTATGTCCATATTTTCAAAAAGATCCCAATTGCTGAAAATGCTTCATATACTCCAAGATTTAATTTGATAATGTACCTTTAAATATGGAGTAGATTCACTCTTTCCCATTATATTATCTGGGGGTTTATTTTCATAGATCTTGTATGTTTCTATAATTTTGCCTGCTTCCTCTGCGCTCCAAGCCAGTATTAAGGTTAAATCTGCTAATATACATATTCTAGTCAATTTTTTTAGAATATAGTGGGGATCCTTAATATCCACCTGAAATTTGTACCTAAGTCACCTTGTAATAATTTTCTTTTAATTGTCTAGTACCTGAACTAACAAAACTCTCAACATATATGCATGTCCTAATTGCTTCAATCTTTGATGGATATAGTCAGGATTTAAATTGTGATATCTCAGAGATAGAAATAAAGCACAAGTTGATTTTCCCATTTCATAGTCAGGAACAATATCACTGTATTCCCATGGTATATTGCTAATAAATTTAAGTAATGGATTTCCGCGTTGTTTAGAATTCACATATAAACAGTGACTATTTTTTGCTGATTTTTCAATAGATGAAGATGTCTCAGAAGTCTGTTCTAAAATTACAGCGGAATTACAATGGTTGTAAGGGTTATTACTGAAATGGACTCAAATGGTTACCTTTTTCAGGTTCTAAATCCATTTATCGAAGACTATAATCCCAAAAACTCTATGGCAGATGTCTCTGAGTACTAGGTTTTAGTTTTTCTTCAATTTTTTTGTATGTTGTTTTTAGGGGTTAGGATCATACATTGTTTACAGAAGCGATACACTACAAAAAATGGGTAATGAAGTTTATAGATCAGAAATGTTTCTGTTAAAGTCAAATAAAAATTAAAAAAAAAAGAGTGTCTTAAGAGACACTTCGAAAACCGGCCAAAAGAGAAGTGCCATCATACGTTTTTTTTTGTTGCGTACAAAATTCTATCATTCCATGTGGTTGTTGAATTTATACAATCGACTTTGATTTTGTTGTCACTTATCCGAGTTTTCGGATTCATATAATGAACTTGATTAATGCCGCCCTATTCTCGGCGAATGTCGGTGATAAACGAGTGTCCTTAGTCCAATTGTCTAACGAAGTAAAACGAGGAAGAAGTGGGACTGTTTTGTGGCATTTTTGGGATACGTAAAACATGAAACGTCAACGTCATGTGTATGTTCAATCAGTGATACTTCAATTAATAAGCTGTCAGTGGCCATAAAATGATGGCTTTATTATTTAAAAGATTTAAACTCAGGTAGCAAGAGTATATATTTACTTAATAATGGGAACTGAGGAAGAACATTGGAACATTTACAAAGCGTCTCAGTACTTACCCGCTGTTTTGACTGATCCTCATCGAGGTAAACAATCCAACTTTTTCACCAAGACATGGGGTGATACATTCATAGAAAAGACTGAAATAGAAAAAAGCCCATTTTTACCTGAAATTACGTATGCACACTTTGATCAATACCTTCGGAAGTACAGCAAAAGATTTAAAAGACATCTACGATTAGCGCAAACTGAACTGGAGGACAGTATTAAGCACCGAAAATCAGATAATTTCGTGGCAGAAAGCCGAATTAGTTGCATTCCAGAAATATACCTGCGTCATACTTTTAACTTGAGTGATCCAAAAGTTTTTTTGGAGGTATTTGGTAATAAAGACAAAAGCGAACATGAATTGCAAGATGAGCTTAGTTTTTATTTAGATATAGTTGAAGAGCATATTGCAAAGCAAGTCTCGCAAAAATCTGGCGCATTTTTTCATGCAATGACTTCTCATGATACTATCATGGAACAGATGGGAGTGGCTGTTAGTGAAGTTCGTTTACTTCGTTTTAAGGTTCAAAGAATTGATAAGTCTTTAGCAACAGAAGCTCTGAGATTATTAGGTTTGCAAAGGTCCAAGTGCAATCAGATTGTTTTAGTAGATAAATTAAAATTGATGTCTACAGTATTACAAACACAGCCAACCTTACAATTGTTACTTAGTTCTTCTGACTTTGTTGGAGCTTTGGAGTTAATTTCAGGAACACAGGAAGTTTTAGCAAAAGAATTGGCAGGAGTAACAAGCCTTAGGCATTTGCCATCACAGTTGAAAGAAATGTTAAAGTTAATTGATAAGATGTTGAGTACAGAATTTGAGAGATATGCTGCCACTGATCTCCACAGACCTTTAGATTCTAATGAAGGTTTGTATAGTGTTTTAACAATTCACTTTAATTCGAAAACTGATATTTTCCATAAATCTAGATCTTTGATGAAACATTAAAAGTTGCTCTTTGTTTGGGATTCCGATGGGTGATCTGTGTGCTCGTTGTTGCACTCGATAAATCACTACCCAAATTTCTTGATAAACGATTTTTTAATTGATGATGATTAATTGAAAGAAAACATAAAAATAACATTTTTAAATAAAATCATGCTGACTCGAGCTGTTGTCGGCTACTTCTTGTCAGAGACGAATCTAACCAGTGTGCACCGCTCTGGATCGGCACTAAAACAAAACATTCCAGGGGCCGGTGGCCTACGATGTAATCGCGAAGTCTGGTCACGCGCCTATTATGTTGGGTCATAACTATTTCCAACACTATTTAAAGTACTTAATATTGATAATTGATAATTGAAATATATGTTTCATTGTTTGATCTTGTTCCAGGTGTTTTGGAGCAAGAGAGACTAACAAGCCTTGTGGCAGGACTTCTTAGGCAAAACAGCTTGCATTTTTTGGAAATTTATAAGCAAGAAGCGGTGACTGCCGCACAAGCTTTACTCAAACAGTTAATGATAGAGCAACTTAAGGATGCTGAAGATGAATTGAATGAACTAACAGGTTCAGGAGAAGTTGCACCCGTAATGGATTCAATTCGTTTGATGAAAATTTTGCGACTGGGCAGTGAAGCTTTAGGTACACATTTAAATTTTTATTCAATGGTGGGGAGCCGGCATTCTATTGGCTTCGCATGGAAAACCTCTTTCAACGCTTAAGTTTTAAAATAAAAGAATTTGATGAACTATAAATTTTGTTAAGCAAGATTTTGTTAAGCAATAGTTATACAGATATAGGTAAACATTGTTTTACGCTCGAGTTCTGTTCTGAGAGACCCTAAGTAAAAAAAATGCGCAGAATAAATACAAATATTAGATAGTATAGGGTTAGGTTTCCTGTCAAAATTCTAAGAACTATAAATGTGTTTAATAAATAGAATTTAAATGTCTTATACAAATAAATAATAATCTTGATATAAATAATGAATTTTTTAAAATATATACTTTCTTGCAGAAACATACAATATGGTCTAGTCTCTTTCTTTTAACTTTTGCGCTTCCCGAAATCCCCATATATCTCACCAGCCCATCTGTTAACCTTTCTAAGGAATAAAGAATACAAGTTAAATCGACCGTTTTTATGGTTTCCCAAGCATTTTCTAATTGAGGAAGATCTAATACCTGCATCAACTCTTTTAATTCTTGATTTGAGAGTGGTTGGTAATGTACCAATGACAAGGCCCAACCCAACAAAACTGGGGAAATCCATGCCGGGATCAACGGGAGTAAATCGAACTGTGGCAAAAAAATGTTTATCTGCATTTTTTATTTGGTTTTCTGTTCTAAAATGTAGATAAATATTGTTGTTAAGGGAATCAAGTATTTTTAATTTTTGTCTGATAACAAATTGCATCTATGAAAAGGTCCCAACTTTTTTTTTAATTTTAGGTAAACTTTTGTATAGAGTAAAAGCAGTTCACGATGTGATTAAAGAAACAACAGATATTAGTGCGGGTTTATTTCTGAATGGTGTGAAGTCAGATATGGAAAGATTTTTAACAGAAGAAGATCATAAGCAAGCTGCGGGAAAACTTAAGGATTTGTTAACGTTCATTTGTGATTACTATAATGAGAGGTTGGCGTCACTAGTTAGTACTCATTCTGATAACCAATCTGTTACGGCCGGTCAAATAATGGAATTAGCCTCAATTGTGGAACAGTTTACCAACTTGTGTGAGGCAATTTGTGGTAGGCAAAGTGCCGCTTTGAAAGCAGCGTTCAAAATATTGGCCGGGAATTATGTTAATAAATTTCATATGCAGAGGAAAAATAAACTGACTTTACTCTTGGACGCTGAAAGATGGAAAGCTGAAGATGTTCCGGCTGAAATTCAATTGTTATTAGATAAGTTAGCTGCGGGAGAAATAATAAAATCTCTGCCCAGTTCTCCTGTGGATGAAAAGTTGTGCAGTACTTATGTGAATAAATCATTTCCTGCGCTAACAGTAGGATCACAAACTTATGTTGCCATTGGGACTGTTATAATATTGCTACAGTTAATTGCGGAGTATTGTGTGTGTGCTTACGATTTGCAACTTCTGGCTCCTATTATTGGTAGGAATTTAGCAGAGTTGTTGAGAACATTCAATTCAAGATCTTGTCAGCTAGTGTTGGGTGCCGGTGCCTTAAGGACTGCTGGTTTAAAAACCATAACAAGTACTAATTTAGCTTTAGCTTCGCGTTCTCTGCAGTTAGTGCTATGGTTGATACCTCATATTAGGAACCATTTTCAATCTGTGATTGGTGATAGTTATAGCGGGTTCGATAGTGTTGAAAAAGACATAGCCAATCATATACAACAGCTGGAGACCAAGGTTTTGTCTATAATAAATATTTTGTTAGGAGATCAGTTAAACGAATGGGACGCCAAGCCGCCAATACCTTCAAAGCAGTTTCGGAATATTTCCAGACATTTGACTAAACTGCATGAGGCTGTGAGTTCAGTATTACCCGAAGAGCAGGTATGTTAAATCATATTTTATTAAGCATGTTACCAAATATTGCTATCGTTCTTGGTTAGACTATAAAACATATTCCTATAAATTGCAGACAGGGTTAAAACTCCAAAGAACTAAGCAAGGACATAAAATTTTCAAGAAATTTCTGAAACATTTATATATTTTAATATAACGAATCTGATTAAATTTTGGTGAAGCTGTGGTATATACATAATGTTCACATAAAACCTGTGATGTATTGAAGGTGAACAATATCACCTACCACCTATTACAAGGTCGTGCAACGCTAAATTATGAGTAAAAAAAACTTGTTAATTACTATATATTATTTTGATGTTTAAATTATAGTACAAAATTGTAGAATAGGTAAAAATGTTTCAGATTTTTTTTTAATCAATACTGAAGAACTATTTAAACTATATAAAATTAAACTTTAAAAAGCATTACCAGACCTTTCTAAATGTGGCATTGCTTTCATAGAAACTTCTTTAGCAGAATATTACAACACTTTCATAAAAGTTTAACTAAATATTTTGTGTGCAGTACCCCTTGTTTTACTGTCGGTAAAATAACGAGTACTGCACCTGCAGTAGAGATTATGCCATTAACACTGAATAAAAAAAATAAATAAATATGTCATCAAAGGTGTTTTTTCAATTGGGCGTACTTTTCATGGGGTTGAAAATACATCACAATAAGCAATTATGTAAACTTCATCTTACCAAAATTATAGGCCAATTTATGTTATGCTAAGTACCTATCCCATTTTTCCAGGTTAGGGACATATATGAACAGGTTCACAAGAATTTCAAAACTCGAATACGAGAACAACTGCTGAGAATGAATATCCAAAAAAATGGCGGTCCCCAACACGGCGTTGTAACTAGTGAAATGATTTTTTATCTACAGACCATGAAAATGCTTAAAGTATTGCCTGAAAAATATGTGAATGATAATGTCATGGATGATATTTGGGTTAAGTGATTTCTTTAAGTGTATCTATGGGATTATACTGATACTGATCACTAAGAAAAGCATCTATTTATTTTCTTCATCCAGTAAACATAAAGATAAAGAAAACTTTCGATTTGGGTGAAAACTTGGATATATGGACCATAGTCAGTATTATTTTGGAAACGCATTTTAGTTATTATGTTTTTTGGCTTTTTCGCTGCCACTTTGCTTGTTTCCGAGTCCACTTGTTTTATGTTTTACAACTTCCCCAGAAAGTTTTTCTTTCTGATATATAATCTAAAAGGCCTCTTTTAGGATCACTTATACCTATGTTTGATTTTTTTGCCTTACTAGAACTAAAAGTACCTCAGGTACCATTAGTGACTGATTACTTTGGCCAAGAAATAATTACCGGTCATACAGAAAATTTTTAGCGCGTAAATGATCTGTTTTCAACAAATATCCAGTTTGGTGTCCATATTTATTTATCTAAATTGAATGTATATGTTTTATCTTTTTTTTACACCATGATGAAAGTTAATTTTATTCTACATAATTGTTTTGTTGTTTTTTTTGTTTTTGTTATTTAATAAATACTTTTATTATATTTAAGAGTTTTCCTGTATATAACATTTTTATTTATATTTGCTTGTAACTCGATTAGGATTCGTCTGCAAAAACCCAAAAATTCTCTGCAGTTTCCATTTTATGAGAATCTTTATAAGTGCGACAGCTAACCATGCATTCTGGCCCGAAGAAAGTAGGAATCCATTCATTACAGTGGACTGCTAAATTCTGTCCTGAAGCTGATTGTTGAATGATATTTTTTGAGTTCGGTGTGAATGCTTTACCGGATGTTTTAGTTCTCATTTGAGGGTTCCAGTGTATCACTTTAAATCTACAGTACACGTCCGGAGTTTGGCAAAGCTTTAAAGATAATCCATAACCCACTGTATCAATTCTTTGACTTTCGCATTGGATGTAAAGCGGCAAATCCGCGTTAGCAATTTGTATCAAAACGTCTTCCCCGCAAAGAACTCGTTCCCCATCTTTCTTTCCTTTGCAAGGGACTATTCTAAAAGTATTTCTGACATAAGGTTCCTCTATCGTTGAAGCAGTTAACATGCACCCATTATTTAACTGTTGAAAGCTGTCTATTTCCCTTTCGGTTATCAACCCGGAGAGATACAAGATGTTTGAGGATCCAATATGTTTAAGGTTTAATGGTAAGTCGAGAGTTTTTATTTGATAGTTTTTGCCAAACATAACGTACGTTTCTTTAATGGCGAGCACTGTTGGCTGAAGTAAATTCTCGAGCATCCTTTTTAGCTTTTGAATTAACAATTGGCCGAGTTTTCTTTTATAGGCAGTTATACACAATTTTTCTTCCTTTTGAGCCAATTCTTCTTGCCATAGACCTAATCGCGTTGGTAGGGAATATATGATACGATTCTCAGACGATTCATTACCATCAGGTTCTGTTTTATCGTAAAGCATTTTTGTAGATAAATTAGTGATTTGAAGGAAAATCCCACCAAGTGCCAAAATGTGACAAAACTGACGTGTGCCATTCGAATTGAACACACTATGAAAATTGATCCATATGAATCTACCACTTAGTTAACATTTTTAAGAAAAAAAAATAGTCTCATCATAAATTTAATGCACTGCTCTCTATTGGCCTTTATAGGAACACAATCAATGGTATCAAAAATCGTCGTAAAGCATATGGTTTTGGAACAAATAAAAAATTTGTGCCAACTCTCATAGGAAGCGAGATATGGGTGCCAAGTTTAAGTTGTTATTTTAAGATCTGCATAAACTTAAAAAGCAGTAAAAAATAATTATCAAGGTATGTTAAATATGTCTCCTAGGCAATACAAAACAGTGACAGAACTTCCATTGCTTTCATCTCGCGATATTTAGACCAATTAAAATAACTTAAAACGCATGAATTGGAAACGTGAAAACGTTTCATAACGCACTACTGTAATATTTGTTTAGCTCTCATATAAGTTGTTCTATACGACCATTTAATTTATACATTGCTCGCTTTCGCTGCTCCTATTTTTTTTCTATCTGTATTGCTTTGCGAATATGTTTAACCAATGTAGGTGTTGATTTAATTTTGTCTACAGGACGATGCGCCCCCTCTAAAACAATGGTGAAAATTTTACTAATAAGTGTTTCGGATCTCCATGTTTTATAAACAGAACACCAGATGGCGGATGGTTTCGGATTTGCCCGATATAAATTCTTATCAAATTTTCTCTGTCTCTTGAAACGAATTTTCACGATCTACGGAGTACGTGTGCGAGGGAGAGCGTGATATTCTAAAATAACTGGGCTGGTATTGTCGAGCCTGTTCGCCATATAAACTTGCCTTACGCGAAACGCCCGTCTCTCTCGGACTAAAATATTTCGCGTAGGTTTGTTTCTCTCCCACCTGCGTGGTATGTGCGCTGGAAACACCTCCGAGAATTTATCTACGGGATCTAGTGTAGACAAAATCGCGAAAGTACAAGGCGCGGAAATTCACGGGTTTGATGTAAAACAGCGAATAATTTATTATTCCTTATTTTAATATATTTCAAAAAAAAATCTCGTGCTACGTGGCATACATGGGCGGGTAGTTACAAAACGTTTGTTTCTGTGAAATGCACTTGTTCGGCATTTGGTCGATACCAGCCCATCATTGCAAAATATAGGTGAGTGGCACCTGATAACAGAGAAAACTATTTTGCGGTTTAATTGGAGGTCGAATTTCTTGGAATATGTTGTGTGATAAAAACTCTGTATGGATTAAATTTGGGATTAAATTTCGAAAAAAAAACCGTCGAGATTGCTGAGGTGTCCGCTTTTATGGTAACAAGGCCGAATTGAAAAGCATTGACACCTTCTGCCGCTTAAATCCTCCTCTCTTATTGCCTTAAATTATTAAAGTATGTTGTTGTGCAACAAACTCGTTACTTAAATGGCATTTTTATAAACAATTTGGTCGGACGTCGGAGACTCATCTTATTAACGTTCATTGAATAAAGTCAGAAAGGGACATGATATAAAAATATGTTATGTTTTTAAACGAACATTTTTGTTATTAACTATTTATAACAAAAATAATAAAATCTACGAGCGGCTGTCGTACGTCGCAAGTTGCGTCTTCCGAATTTGCTCTGCTATTGATCGGCTTATGTCATCTCTGTCTTCTTTTAGTCTAGACTGTTGTCGTCTCGTTTACCTAGACCCCACGTGGTAACTTTAATGTCATGCAATGTTCAATAGGCGCCCGGAAGTTAATTGAGGACTAACATTACAGATAATTTTAAAAAGTTATGTCAGAATTTTATGTTTTTGTCGTTTTACATCTAAAAGGACCGAACAAGCTTAAATTCAACCGCCGATTTTACAAACATACAAAATTAAAAATCATTAAAGTAAAATTTTTTATTAAAAAATGCATAATGCAAAAAACACCAATTAACCAATAAAAAAGTGGCCGACAGTGTTGAAGGTGATGGAAATTTAGAAATTTAAAAAAATATCGAAAAAAATAGAAATAATATATAGGTGTTTCCTGTTAAACAACACTAAAATTGCGACCTCGCTGTCATTTTAAAACAATTTATAAATTTTTTCCCAAATTTTGGAATTAGAAATATTATTTATTCCTCATGCCAAACATCTACTTCGAGGATTACTAAAATTTTGACACTATTAAATAGTGCGGAAAAGATGTATTGTAAATAAAGCGATATAATAGAAATAAAAAAAATAAATAAAAATGATAATAATAAATAATAAAATGAAACGACAAATCTCAGTATTAACGTAGTCAATAAAGGCTTTTACTCTCTAGTTTACGAACTGATTTAATTTTGTTTAAAACTTTAAGAATTTGATCGAACTATACTAACTATACGAATATTATGTATACAGGGCAGGTCACAACTACGGGGTTTTTTATATTTTCGTAAGAGTCTATTTTATCGAAAAATATTAAATGTAGAATCACCCTGTATATTATTTCATTTTTGGATTTGGAAAAAAATTCATAGTAGGATTTTTTCAGGTTTCCCCATTTGCATGGTAAACGCAAACAAAAAAATCGTTCATTCGAAATTGGGATTGCTTATAGTGTGTCCAAAATTTATCACTCAATTACATCATTTTCAAAGACGCAAAAGTTCGGTGTTTGAAATACAGCACCTTGCACCTTGCACCTATAGAGAGATGTACAATCTAATTCTAATTCTAATTCTAAAACTATTTTCAAAGGTTTTCTTGCTACGCCTCATTTTCTAAGTCAGTCAAACCCGATAGTTTTTTTAGTTAGTATTGATTTTGATCAAGTTTAACATGTCCATAGTTCTATTTACTTCAAAACAGTTAAGGAACTAGCCATCCAGATCACTCGGTTTGCAGCTCTTGAATATTCCGTGACCATATAAAAGAACTCATGTGTTTGCAGTGCCTTTCCGACTTTAAATCCAGACGCACATCGAAGGTTTATTACGGGAATAATAATAGAGTTTAATAAATGTTGGAACAAAAATGTTGTCATATAGAAACAATTGTTGTTATTTCGTTTATATCCATTTTGTATTTCTTGTTTCTGGTCTGTCAGGATTTTTTTTATGTTTTTATTTGATTATTACAGTAGATTCAATTTTCCTGTTATGATTTCATGTACCTTATAATTATACCGTATTTCTGCCGTCTGCTATGTTCATTTTGCCAAACATCGCCTTAAAATAGAAAACATAGAATAACAAGAATATTCATCGGTGGGAAAATGCAAAGACTTAAACTCAGGTGACTTATGTGGTCATTTTTAGAGTCTCCCTAACTCCTTAAAATAAAGCCAAATTTTATTAAAATCAGAACTCTCTCTTTTCATTGACTCTTGAATATGAAATAACAAGATAACCGTTGAAAATAGGTGAAAATGCAATCATATACAGCTTGTGGTATTTTCATCTTCGAAAATGATGTAATTGATTGGTAAAGTTTGGACACCCTGTAAGCCATAAATCAATTTTCAATACCAATACAATTTTCAATCATTTTGAAAGGATTCTTGTGTTTCCAAGGCGCATTGTCCAAAATGTTGTTACATCTTTCAAAGTATTTAAATTAATCAAGATACCTAATAATTTTCTTAGAAATATAAAAATGAAATTATATACCGGGTATTCGATATAAAATAATGAATTTTGGTGCTGTGTGACACTTATGAGATACCCTGCAGAATGACAAATATTTTCATCGCATGTGGCACATTCAAACAAACAACTTTGTTATTTAAAAATTGGCGATAAAGAAAAATTATGGTCATAAAAGAAGAGTGAACCACCCTCTATAATTTATCTGACACTGGAACCAAATACTTCGCTTTTTTTCGTCAATTTATCTTTGCTGCAACTGTTTTAAAACATGTAAACCTAAATGGATGTAATGTTGGTAAAGTGAAATCTGTTCGATTTTTACTTAAAATAGATTTTGAATACCGGTTTAATACAAGCCATGTACCCATTGCATTTATATCTTATTATGAGAAATATCTCACAACTTGTTAGTACAACCGATACCCGTTCTTTTTCAAAGCTTTCTCTCCTATTATCCGTTGTTTGGTATTCTGATTTTCCTTTGCAGTTGCAGTTCGCGGTCGCTTAACAGGTTTCTTTGGTTTCACACACTACGAAAACGCAGTCAATTTGTTTAAGAAAAATATCCAGAGAGGACTGGTACAGCAACGAGGCGTTGATAGTCGGATACTTAAAAATACGAATTAATTTTCTAACGACATTTTTATCATTTGAAAAATAAATAACAATTAAATTCTGCAACCAGCCACCAAACTAAGCAAACCTCACTTTTGCATTCATATGGATGTTATTATTCTTAAATATTCGAAATGTAATAATAATACATTTATTGCTGTGCCAAATATACATATACTGCAAAATATAAGATGGTACCAAACAAAAGGCGTAATAAAACCCAGACATCCAGCAAAGCCAGATACTGTTCATGCCTAAATTTGACGTAAATCATATTACCTCAAGAACAAGAAAGAAATGTATCAAATAAACAGAGAGAAGACGTATGACAAAGGAGAAAGGAGGAGGAAAGGGTAAACGGAAGAGTGGTTTTCCGATACAGAAATTATTCAGTTCCAAGAAGATATTTTTTATACCGGTTTTTAAAAGCCTTAAATTATTTATTGTATGTGCAATGCTATAAGAAAACGATCTTTAAAACATTTCTTTTCGATGTGGTATTCTCAATCTAATTGTTTTTCTTAGATTCAAGTCATGAACATGTGTACGAAAAGTGATTTTGTTAAAAAGATACTCAGGAGATTTATACTTAATTAATTTTGAATAGAATGTAGCACGGTGTAACCTAAACCCCTTGCACATGTTAAACCAACCCGAAACAGAGAAGTATGGAGAAATATGATCGGCGAACTCCATAAATAAACCGCAAACATGAATTTTGTATTTTCTGGATACGACATTGGTCAGTAGCGTCCAGGAAGGTTGCGTACACACCACAGCAATGATTACACTGTGATA